CTTTATGCCAGACCTTGTCAAAAGCCTTACTTACGTCACAAAATACGGCCCTAATTTCCTTACCACTATCTAATGCACCCACTATGAAGTCATACAGGTACGTTAATTAATTTACCGTTGAATCGCCTGGCATGAAACCGGATTGTAAGTTTGTAAGTATTTCATTATCCCTAAAATGATTAAATACATGTTTGAGAATGCATTTTTTCGAAAATCTTTGCTACACAGCTTGTTAGTGCAACTGGTCGATAGTTAGAGCATTCATTTATACTGCTTTTGTTGTGTGTATAGGGAACAACTGATGCCTCCTTCCCGATATCAGGAAACACTATTCTTTAATGATAAATTAAAAACTTCAGATAAGGGAACTGCTAATTGTCTTGCATTCATTTTCAGAAATTTATTGCCAATACCATCTGGCCCTGTCGCTTTAGTGATAAAACAGAGGAGAGAATATCATGGATTTCTTGCGGACTAAGTGTTAAGTCACATAATGGATTATCTACAAATTTCAGGAATATCCCTATTAGGAGCAGCTACTCTTGCCTGATCTGCAAAGAAATCATTCATAATGTTTGCTGTTTCAGCACTATCATCATATAGTTTATCATTGTGGATTATCGAAGGAAAAGTATTAACATTGGTGGTGTGTTTACTTTTAATATTATTCTTAACTAAACGCCACCATGTTTTTGTACCATGTTCATTGTTTATTTGTTCATCAATTTTATTCATGTACATCTTCTTTGCATTTCTTACCGCGGATAAAACTGTATTTCTACTTAATCTAAAAAGTGCCCAGTCAGATGATGAGTTGCGCCTTTTTGCGATTTTATGATGGCGATTGTGTTTACGAAGCAATTTACGTACCTCACTATTCATCCAGGGGGCGTCCCGGGGCCTTATCGTAACGACTTTATTTGGAATATAACTATCGCATAATTCAAGAATTGCACCAGTCAAGTCGCTTGCGATACGGTCAATATTTTCAGAGGAAAAGATAGCATGCCAATCAAAAGTATATAAGGCATTTTTAATACCGTCAAAATCAGCTAGAGTATAATTATATATTTTTCACTTGTAATTAATCAATTTTGCAATCGACTCATTGATGGTGACATATACAGGGCAATGATCGCTACATAAAGGATCTAAAACACCCGATTTTAGTACAGCGCTAACACTTGAAACAAAAATAAGATCAATTAATGTACTAGAACTGGGTGTAATCCTCTGATCCTTGTAGGTTCAGTTATAAGTTGTGTTAGTCCACATAGCAGTTGTAATTGATTAATTTTATAACTTGTGTCTGTAAGAAAATCAATATTAAAGTCACCAACTACAATTGTGTCCATATTAAGATCAACGGCGTTATTGATAGAATATTCGATTAAATCCCAGTAAGCTTGTTTTGTCTGCCCGATAGAACGTTCCTATTACGTAATTCCGTTTTTTACATCTTATATTTATCCACATCGCCTCAAGCCCGGCTATAGTTAAATTCTCCATATATTCAAAACTCATTTTACTTTTTACGGACACTGCGACACCTCCGCCCCTGCTCTGTCTATCATTTCTGATAGGTGAATGGAAACCCGGTATTAAAATATCGTTACTACTTATACCATCATGTAACCATGTCTCAGTAAGACATATGCCGTCGTAGGATCCGAACTCTGCCTCAAGTATGTCAATTTTATCTTTAAGGCTACGCACATTTAAATGTATTATGTTTAGTTCACTATTATTAATTGGACCTGGGTTAGGATGAATATCACGGCAGATCAAAAGAATAAGAGACGCTACCAAGGAGACTTTGGCATTGTATAGGCAAAGAAGTAGTAAAGAATAAGAAATATTTTTAAGTTTGTTGACAGATTTGTTTGAATATGACAAACAAAGGAACCCACCACTTGTCTATACTGTACAATATCAATCATTATCGAATAATTTAATCATAATAACTTGGGTTGTTCTCTTGTGAGAAAATAGAACTGATCTAATTTCCGACATTCAACTGAAAAGCAGTATAAATGTGTATGTAAAGCTATTGATTTGTTAAGAGAAAAAGGAAAACATATCTGTATGCTAATGAGTAGATAACTTGAACAATTTATCTCTCTGACAGAAATCCAAGTAAATAATCTGACAAAGGTAAGAAAATATAAATGAACGAAAAATAAAATCAGGTTACAGTGGAATCTTTTATCTGTAACAGGAAAAGGAACAGTGGAAAACAAAACAACAAAGAACATCATCTGTTTGCTGAACCTGCATGGTGACCCGTCTTAATCTCGGCTATGCATGCAGCTCAGGATGCATGAGCGTCTATTACGTAAAACAAATGTGGTGGACGGATTGTACCTGACAAAATATTTTTAGAGAGAGTCTTGTAGTAGAGTCTCATGTCATGGTCAGTAACATCTGCCTGCAAATCGTCTGACAGTTGATGAGACCTGGGTGGCCGTGTTAGACTGCCGGGTTAAAGCCAGAGCTCTGTGCCCCTGCAAAACAATGATGCCAGTCCTGATGGGTACAGTGAGACTGATGTCTGAATTGTTGTTCCCCTCCACTACCAGCAGCTGCACTCACATATTCCTTGAAATCTAGTGTTGCATTCAGACCTGATAATAATCTTTCATACCATGATGTTTGGTTCTGAAAAGTCACTTTGTTGCTTGTTTTGAATCCAGGATAACTCGAACTATAAGTTACACCATGGCTGACCTTGCACACCTCTTATTTTTGTAGTATGCAGAGGAGTCTTGTAAACAGATCCAAGTGCATTCATGAAATCCATGCAAATTGGAGTGATAGCAAAGCCATCTTCAAGCTACGGAGGATTCAGAACTTGGCAGCAAGGCATATCTCTAAGTCAGTAGGATCTCTAAAGCAGAGCATATAACACCAGTTCTCAAAGCCTTGCACTGGCTCCCTGTCTCCTCGTATTGTCTACAAGATTTGCTGCATGACTCATGACTGTCTCTTCAATGACGGTTATCCATTATATCTAAAGGACCTGATGTCCCTTTACTTTCCAGAATGCTCACTCCGATCGTCCAACAGGGATTTACAGGACGTGAATTCCTGCGTCTTATACTCATAAAAATTGACAACGGATGCAACAAAATTAATTAGCACATCCACATGGACGCAGAAATAGTCCAAATACTTTTTTATATATATATATATGTCGACCAAGTAACAAGTCTGCTACTAGCTACTAGCCATTTGCAATTTAATTACTTTAACAATGTGATGATCATGTTACACAATACAATAACAGTAAGTGAATTACAATAATATTACAACATAGTATTAATGATAATATTTAAGTGTCTGGGACCCCCATTTTGTAGGGCAGGCCCCCTGAAAATCAAGAGTAAGTCCCCCAGGGACCCTCAAATGCAAGACTCAATGTAAATCCCTGGTCCAATGATTATCAAATCAGTCAGCTTCTAACCACCTCTGCGATGTCTGATCGCACCTTTTCAGTTTGCAGTTCAGAATTCCACTATATCCAAAGAGGATTTAAAGTGTCTCCGCAAAACCTCCCACTTTCACATTGCCTGTCACTAGACCCTATGGATTTCCTCTGTATATATGTTCCGTGACTTTCTCTAGTTGGTCAAAGAGCCAGTAAGCACCTATTGATGGATACTTGGCGCTATATACATCCATTATCATCATTTGAGAAATTTTACGCCAATTTTGGCATTATTTCTGCCATGTCACAAGGAACACCAAGAATGGACTTCTTACTGTGTACTCACAAGAAGAATTAAAGCATGCTCTGAAAACTTTAACGACCAGGCTGCTCCACAGTTCTTCAGTGTCCCACTGTTTACCACTTTCATGTTTTCTGTTTACAAAAGTTAACAATCGGAAAACTTAAGTCCCATATGTATTGACAACACAAAACGATTTGTTTATTCATGTTTTTAATAAAAAAATTAACTGAAGAATATGTTATTGTATAAAATGATCTACAGGACAGGGAATGTAAGGCTCACAAAATCCTTTGACATCAGTGACTTCAAGGTAAGTAAACGCTGTCAGTAGGTACCTGCTACACATAATGGACTCCTACAAGATACTTCCACTACAGCTGATATGATATGAGACACAAATATTTTGTAAAGGCATTATCACAGTTGGTGAAATGGACAGAATAAATATAGTACAAACATTACATAAATTCATAAAAAAAAATATCAAACATCAAATGATGTAACTGTCTAATCAACACAAGCTCAAGGTAACAAATATCTAATGCTAAACAAACTGAAAAGTATTCACCTACTACTGGCTTTAACAAGAGGAAAGTTTCATATGGGATCATATTGATGATACACACCTCTGAAGCCAATGCAACATGTTTTGTAATTTGGAGTTAAACATACAATGGAGGTGATCGGCTTTACCTTCTGTATTTCCTTCTATGTTTATTATTATACAGATTTTCATAAAATTCGAGCACTTTCAAATTTACATATGAACAGGCACTGTAAACATTGAGTACGGTACAAAAAAACATTATATAGCTTTCAGCTGATGGCTGACAAGTAAAACCAGATAAAAGGTTTTTATATGATTATTGCAAAACCAAAAAATATCATGGCATTATCAGTTCAGTATATATCAATGACCAAAAATTCTATTGTATGAGTGCAAATGTAAAGCATCCTAAAAAAAAACAATTTACGCTCCAATTACAAAGATAAAGGGTCTATGTTGAGAATTTGTTTTCAAAATCTGTAAATATCAAATACTCCTGACACTGATACTAGCTACATTTTGAAGCATTAGAGTTGAGTACAGTAAGGCACAGCATGCTCAGGAAGCAGACATATATGGTTCAGTTTAATAGTGATACTTTTGAGATATTAGAGAAATATATACATACATATATTCCTTAACTTCAATAATGTGTCAGACAAACATTCAAAACAATAAATTCTACCACGGTTCAACACAAGTGAACAACAATTATTCCGATAAATGATCATTGTGCTATAACAATATTATATTGGAAATGAACCTAAAATGGCAATAAACTCACAACAAGGAGGTCAGGAAATGCAGGTACAAGAGCATGCATGTCAAAGATGAATAAATACTCAAGTTTACTATTCTTATATTTTCTATATTAATTGTTAATATGTATAGTATGTCATGTGTATACACATATGCTGCCTGAGTCAAAGAGATTTGCTATGTACAGAGAATGCTGGACAATGTCGTGATGTGGACGCAGTCCTGTGATATGTGTCTACTATGGCACCTTCAGTTTCTGGCAGTGTCACATGTAGTTGGACGGACAGAAGAATTACAGGCACTTCCAAACAAACACACTGAAACAGAACAAAACATGACACTTAAGTGTACAAAGTAAACAATATAATAAGGTCTTATGAATAAGTGAATACGTAATTTTTCAAAAGTTATATTAAGTTAAATAAAATGCAGTCCTTTACTGATTTAACCATGACAACATTTCACTGCTTTTTTTCACTTTGCCTTATGTTGCCTAGCCTACAGACCTCGAAAAAGCGGCATAAAACTAAACTAACTCACTCACTATTGACCTCGAAAATTCATAAGACTAATGAATTTGTCGTGCCCTGTTAAAAATACATTCCACTGCTTTTAATGCCTACAATTAGTTTATGTCCACAGGAATATACTACCCACCACATAATCATTATTCCTGTCACTTGATACATTCATGACAACTACTGGGTATTCAAAGGAGAAATTATGCCAACCAATCCACAGTTAAAAGCAATTTTCAAAATACCTTATTTCACAAAGCATGCCTGAGAGGAGAAAAAGGAATTCCTCAAGAAGGTTATGTCAACTTACCAACAGTCATCTCCTCCGGTACTGACCAGGTGCTTGTCATCACTGGTAAAGCGGACATTAGTCACGTGTGCTGAGTGACCTCCGAATCTCTTGTGAGGTGCCTGCAAACACAAAATGTAACAATAACAGAAGCACAGTCATTACTCTGCTACTGGTGCATTTCACAGCTGCTCACTCCAAACATGCCTTGAACTATCAAACTTATAACCCTTATGTCAGAAACAAAAGACTGCAAAACAAACAGCCACAAAGGCTACAAGATGGGAAGTTGTATGTTTAATAGCAGGTCCTCTGCAGACCACATGTTAACATGCAAGTACATGCAAGTGCACCATGCCTGGTTAGAAAGTTTAAGATGTTTTGAAAATTATTTCAGGATATAAAACTTAATCTTAATAAAAAAAAAAAAGGCACCCAATAAGAAACTTGTAACATAACTGTGCTTTACACAAAATTTTAATGTGCTTGACAACAGTTATATTTGAAGTATGTGCTGTACAGTGTAAATGGTATAGTTTGTGTGTGTGTGTATGACAGACACACAGTAGGAGTGGGACAACAAGGAATACATCTATACAATGTGATTTCTTCAAATTACTTGGTTCCTTTTTCCAAACCAATCTAGAGCTTTTGGTAGGACATAAATAAATAAAAAATGCAGAAAAAATATGCACTGGTCAGGGGGTTAAAATATAAACATGTTTGCTGTATTCTTTTCTTTGGATGGCAATTTTCAAAAATTCTTATGTTGGAAGAAAAGAGAAATGTTCATAAAACTCTGACATAATTCTGCATCTGTAACATTGTATGTTGGAGGATCAACAAACCAAGTAATAAAAAGTGAACTACCGTACTATACTATGCCCATGCAGCTGGTTTGATAAACTGATGCAGTGAGTGCAATATAATCTATGTATCTGCTGGAACATGAACTAATTTCTCGACTGCATATTGTGGGGCCAATGCAATGCAAGCCAGGAAGTCATAAGTCGGGAATCAGAATGGGGGTTACACAAATTCTGAAATATTACATAAAATTCTTTCAACCCACACACAACTGCTAATATTTTTGCTTACAAGTTACAGATCTAGCAGAAGAGATACAAAAGCTGACACTTACCAAACTCTACAGAAAGAAAAAGAACCATGTTTAGAATGACAGTTTATCTGTTCGATAATGACAGAATGCAATATAGGTTCACCGTAAACACATTTGTGTCAAATGTAGCAAGGCTTGTTTATCATCATAGAAAAATCATTATTTCATTTATATTCTACAACTGTTACTTCATGGCATTAGCAAGACATAATACCTGTTATACTTATAAGTTCATAATTGTGCGTCCAACTTACCATTTTGTCAGGACATGGGAACTCAAAGAGTTTGACAAAACCAAAATCGTCCCCACTTGCTAAGGCATTTCCAAGATGAGAGAGATGTGCACAGTTGACATCAGCATTACTGGAATCCTTAGGCCAAATGCCCAACACCTCCGAACCCAGAGTGCTGCAGCACAGAGATATTCAACATCATGACAACAGTCATAGTAAGGTCTGGGTATTGACAAATATTATGTTGATTTTGTATATGAACATTAGGTTCGTATTATTGTGTAGAAAATCCTCGATACAGAGGAGTTGCAATCAACATAAAGCTCAAACGGAAACCAACAATTTCAAAACAATAAGGGTCTGTTTATTTTGGGCTACAGAACATATTCAAAGTTGAGAGAGAAAAGTAACTTTCTGTAACACTGGTGTGAAATGTATCTACTGCATTGCACCAAAGGGAACCAGAATATTGTCTTTGATCTTCCATCAGTGCACCTTTATATATTCTTAAACGGATGTATATGCTCGTATATCAAGAAAATATATTGACACTACTGACGGAGCCTGCCATAAGTTGACCAAAACCTCCACTCTAAAAGAACCCCCTTCACCCTACTTGCCCCAAACATTCCTCCCTCAGAAGCAGAACCCCTGCTCTCCATGCCTACCTGGTCCACGATATCCAGGTGATCTTACTGATGAGTTTAGGATCCTCCACAAGGGTTCCTCCAGGGATGGCAAAAATCTGGTTTACATATGCTCCTGTTGATACCTGCACAATACAATATGGCAGATATTAGAATCTGAGACTCAAGTGGGCTTCATACACTGTGTCCATGTAGAGAAATGGAAATGGGTCTATTGAGTGACAAGCAGCAGCAAAGAGACAACTGACAACTGATCACTCTGACTCGAAGAATCTTTCAAAGTAGAAGAACATTCTGATTCTTGTACTTACCCTGATATACTTGCTGTCGGCGGAGAAGTCCATCTGTATGACAAAACTCGGGATGCCATTGCAGTAGCCTTTGCGCACCAGATTTGGGCCCTGGCTGATGTCATAGAAGTCCACACAGCTGTCCTCAGACCCGACTGCCAGGTATTTGTTGTCAGGGCTGAACCTTAACACAAAGCGGTACATGTCACTATCAGCAAAAGGGTACCAACATTCTTTGTACATGGAGTACTCAGTAGGTGAATGAGCTATATCAAAGCTATACCACTATCAATTCTGGGTGAGAAATGTCACCCACTGAAAGCATGGACAATGACAGTGGGGCCAAATGATACACAAATAGCCATGTAACAGCAACAGACAACATAATGCAACCTACTCTGTCTATACAGCAAGTTCCAGACAACGATTCTACTTCAGAGTCCCAACATGGCTCTCTTCCCATGAGAACAAAAGTAAGATCTTGTAAGTACCAGAACAGAAACACAGCTTACAGCACACATAATCAGAATCATTGTATAATCAATAATCTTCTCCAGTTCACTCTTGTTACTAACATATAAAGGAAATTACCTTTGCTACTAAGTAGCATAAGAACAGTGATTAAGGTTGTTACCGAATGTCATTGATGGAACCAGATCTGTCTCGTTTCTTTGCCCATAGTTTCAGGTCTTTGGTGAGAATGAGGAACTCTCCATTCTTCAGCCCAACAGCAATTAATTCCCCATCTCGGCTGAAGGAAACAGATCTGGCAGGACCAACCTCCAGCTTTGCCAGCAGTGCCTAAACATGAGCAGGACATGTGAGTGAATGTTGATTAACACTGCAGTCAGCAATACTCCAGATATATCACAGCAGACTGTATGATGCCTGGACCTGACAAACCATGGTTGATATCGTGTCTGACAATGTTTGGGTATGGTGATATTCAATCAACCTATAATGTCACTGAATATGACCAACATACACTGGGGATCTATTTTAACCCAGGTCCTCATGGGAATGATGACTGTGAAAAAGACATGTAGATAAAATAATTGTTGTTATTTGAAATCTTTCAATCCAGGCAAGTCAAACAAATGATACAATTTATACATGCATGTGACACTAAATACAGTCAAGTCTTGTTAATCCGACATCGTCCGTTGCACAGCAAATTGTCGGATTAACGAGGATGTCGGATTATCGAATTGTTCCTGGTAAAAAACAGGACAATCATGATTCATATTAAGTGTGTGTGTGTAATTAGTGTTGGGAATTGACCTCTAAAACCATAATCGATTATCAAATTTAGATCACACATTTTACAGTTAAATGATGTAAAATGTCGGAGTCGGAACACGGGACTGTCCGATTATCGAGACTAAATTGCGCTGATTCAATTTGTTACCAACAAAAGCGTCGGATAAAGCCAATTGTCGGATAAACGGAAGTCGGATTAACGAGACTAGACTGTAGTAAATGAAAAGTAATGATAAAGCCTACCTTGGCTGACACATCCCAAAGTCGGACTGTTCCATCATAACTAGCAGTGATGTACTGAGGGAGGGTAGGGTGCCTGTCTAGCCCCCACACTTCACCTTCAGCATGACCACCAACTATAGTCTGGACTGTTCCATTTTTCTCTCCTATCTCAATGACATCATTGTCTTTTGTACCAATCAGAATCTTGCCCTAATGTTAAAAAAATGTGAGAAAGAAAATCCCAGCTAAAGTATTTCGTATAAGACACAAGTAGTTTGAAATACAAAGACAAGACAGTAATGGGGGTGAGCATGTGACAAAAAATAAATATTATTGATCTGCACCTTGTATCTGCAGACAGACTTGACAACTTCAGGCTTAAGACGTCCCTGGCCAACAGAGAAAGCTCGGCAACGCTTCATATCCTGATCCCACAGCTTCACAGGCCCATTTTCCTTGGACCTAAAAATGTTAATAATTGAGTGACAAACAAAATCTCTGTTTCATAGCTGTAAAGACAAGGAGATATCCATAGGTCAAACTCACCACAGGAAACACCAAGAATAGCCAGATGGAAATTAGCAACAGCTCACTAGGCATATACACAACATGAATGAAGCTGTGTTTTTCACAAGATATCAACTTTGTCAAAAGCTATTCATGACTGAAGAAGTTATAGATACTCAAGACAACCGACACATGGATATACTGATGTCCGAGATGATAATACTAGGATTCCACTTCAACAGTTTTCATGTACCCAATTACACGATAATCCACAAAATTAAACATGCATTACTCCTTCAATTTAAAGCCCCCACATGTTCAGAGCCAAGCCTTACAAACCACCTAGCAACAGAACTCCAAGAGATTACTTACGGAATTTCCTTGCCTCCAGTGACAATAAGTCCATCTCGGAGTGTTGTATACATACTGAACACAGGGCCATTGTGAGCCTTCTGTACCAGTCGGGTCAGTGTGGTGTCTTTCCACACATACACATCCCCACTCATGGCACCTGTGTATGTCAGGTTGTTCTAGGAATACAAGATGGGCATTATCACTTCATGATGGTTTTGTTATTAATGCGTGATTTATGGTTATTTAGCATCTGATTTGAAGAAGATATTTGTCCAATGGCTTTAATAAGAAGCAGATAATCAGGACTGAATAATTTTAACATGTTTCAATATAAACGGGATCCTGTTGCAATGATTGCAATATAAGCTAATTTACAAAATCCTAGCACCATTTACAGGCATTATCACAAAGGTAAAATAACATGTTACACAAATTAACATACCACCTGTTGAGTGTTAGAATAACTCACAAAACCATAAAGAAGACATTGTTTACGTACAGCTCCGAAGGCCACAGACAACATAGTCTGCATCTTCTTGACATCTGCACCAGATCCTGCATCAGTGAGGATTCCCCGCTTGCCCACCAATTGACTGCCGGCTACTGTCCAAAACTTCACATGCTTCACACCCACAGACACAAACTGGGTGTCACTGTCTGGACGGAACTCAGCCTGGAAGATTCTCTGAGAATTTCCTGGTGCAACTGCTACTTTTGAACCTGTCACATAGACAACAGCATAGTATTGAATCAAAGCTCATGATCAGCAGTCAACTATTCAAACTAGTGGACACTGCTATTTCATTTAACTGTGACCAAAGTGAGCAATACATTGAGTGAGTGAGGGTGAATGTCTCTTTCACTTTTGAATACTTTTTCTATAGTTCAACATAGACACTGATCAACAAGTAGTGATAGTAGTGCAGGAATAGCTGGAATCGTATGTTAGAATGAAAGCTGTGACAAGCATAGCACAAACATCAACCTGACTTTCATGGAACAGTCTCAAATTGTCCCTACAGCCTTACCATCTTGCCACCTCCATACTGCCACATTATGCTCGTCTTCCAGTCCCACAGTCAGCAAGTATTTTCCTGTACAAGAGAAGTCCACAGAACAGACTCCCTTTGAGTGAACACCCTGGACGATTGACATAGTCTCCTTGGTTACAGCATCCCACACATGTACTGACGGAGGATTCCCAATCTGGCCGCTGGCAACCACATTCTTTAACTTCGGATGTTGATTGACAGTCAGACAGATGATATCATCAGTGTGCTTCACGTAGAATGACTGGCTTCCTGGAACACAAAGTACAAACTGTAAAATGATAACGCTATGAAAAGACGTTTTGCTATTATCAAAATGAGGAAATGATTCTGGAAACTATTTTTCTGGGTCCTGGTCACTCGCTGTATAGTTTAGTCAAAATATGTCTATTCTGAGTTTGTTATAACCATAGTTTATGGTATGTTGGTAGAACTAGAGCCATTTTTGATCACCCTATTTAGACAAAATAACTAAGAGAGAGAGAGAGTGATTGTAGAAGATCACAACCCATTTTTAGCAATATTCAAAGCTGGTGGACATCACACACTGTTGTTATTCCGGAATCCAATCCTGAGTATATGAGTCAATACATTAGTCACTAGGTTGCCCACCTTCCCCAGGCTGTCATAGTAACATAGTGCTCAAATGCATGTCTCTACCTGATGACAGATTCTGCACAATGCCTGCACCAGCTGCATGGAATACAATGTCAGCACCATCGTTTATGTAGCAGAGGTTGCTGCGGGCATCAAAGCCCCTGTAGCCATGGATGTATTCCAGCTGCAGATCCTGCAATCATGAAATATTATTCCGTACATCCTGACAAATTGCATTCAAGTCTTTCTTGGTATAAAGCTAACAGCATGATTAAGAGTGGGTTTATGTTTTTAACATTCAACCATTCCATTTGGTTATCAGAAAATATCATACAGTGTACAGGAAACAAATAACCAGTGTATTATATATACTGATTATCCATGTTGACCACTGGTAATTTCGTAATATATAATTCATGTTATTAAGCATTATCTCAAATTCTTCATGCAGACCATTTCGTTCATGTTCATTTGGAAACTGACTTTCTGAAAAAGTGTGTCTACTCACTGTAACCTGGGTCATCTTCCTCCTCTTACCCCCAGCTGTTGGTGGGGGTTCAGCTCTCTGCACTTTAGGGGGCTGGGGGGCACCTCGGCTCACTGCAGGCCTGCATATAGGTAGATGTTTGAATGATTTGGGTAATCAACACAAAAAATGAAAGGGACATTATACAACCACCTAATATATGATATAAAAGTTCCTCTTGGAAAAACCTAACGATGTTTGACATGAATTTTCTATGAATTTTGATGTCATATGCCAGCAATTGTCTATATGATACTATATAGCACCTGTCTACCCTGATGAGTCTCAACACTGTGTAAGTTATACCACCTAGAAGAACTATTACTGAGTGAGTTTAGTTTTACGCCGCACTCAGCAATATTCCAGCTATATGGCGACGGTCTGTAAATAATCGAGTCTGGATCAGACAATCCAGTGATCAACAGCATGAGCATCGAACTGCACAAATGGGAACTGATGACATGTGTCAACCAAGTCAGCGAGCCTGACCACCCGATCCTGTTAGTCGCCTCTTACGACAAGCATAGTCGCCTTTTGTGGCAAGCATGGGTTGCTAAAGACCTATTCTACCCCGGATCTTCATGGGTCAGAACTATTACTGAATGTACCACCAAGTCTGGTAGAATACTATGAATCTAGTGAATGCATAATTGAATCTAGCTGAACTGCAATTGAACTAGGCAGACTGCTATTGATACTGGCATAACCTCTTCTGAATCTAGTGAAACTACAAATGAACTCCCGTCAAACCATTTCAGAACATTGCTAAGCTGCTATGGAAATTGTGGAATTAATATTGATCAGTATGGATTTCCTACTGAACTGTTTCTGAACCAATAGGACCTACTACTGAACAGTGGGGAACTGTTACTTGTTATGTGGCATTGTTATTCATTGTGATACAATGTCCCAAGTATAGTACAGTGTACCTGTTGACATGCAGTTGGGTGTCCTCTATATTTAGACTTCTAGCTCTAGGGGCTTCCGTGGTCTGACCCACAGAATATCATAGATTCTGGGTTTCTGGGGTGTTCTGCCTCATAAAGTACTGTAGAATTTTTAGTTTTGTTTTTGTGTTGTTGTTTATTCAAGGGGAGCTAGCTCTTGCTGCTCATCTCACATTACCCACATGGGTACAATGTGTGAAGCCCATTTCTGGTGTCCCTCGCCGTGATGTTGCTGGAATATTGCTAAAAGCGGCGTAAAACCATACTCAGTCAGTCATCTCACATTACATCTCAAGTTACAAGAAGACCAGCATTGTGATGTGATGATTACTATACCCTGGATACTCTGTTTACGCCTACTTTGCAAGTTGGACTACCGTTGCCGAGAGGTGAATACAAATGTATTATCATCATTCTGTTTATTGCTACAATCACTGCTCTTGTATTATATTACCTTTGAATTTGTACTGCCACTGTATTTTGTTCTGTCAGAGTTACCTTTGTATTGATTTGTGATATAGTTAATATCAGAATACAATTGTTAATTACATCACATTGCTTTGTTGTTGCTGGTTTCAAACTTTTCTTTTATGGCCAGATTACCAGTTAACTTCTTAGTGTCAACTTGTGAATCAACACGTAACATACTGAACATCATGGAACTGCTACTGGGCTCTGTGATACTGCTGCTGACTTTGATGGAACCTCTGATCTAATGGATGTACGATAGCTCCTGCTGAATCTAGTGGAATTGACCCAGTTGACCTACAACGTTTATATAGTGGAGCATGTGCTGACCTGTCCAGTTCCTTTGTGCTCTGTAGGTGAGGTCTTACTCCATCCTTCTCTCTGATGGGGTTCACATAGATTTTTGAGCCATAGTCCATCTTCTTTTCTCTCTCTACATCACTGTCATAACCTGAAGGGACGAAGATAAACAACTGACTACTTACTACTCACATGACAAAGAAGCCCATCATTTAAAATTTGAATACTAAAAGATGTGGCACCAGGCTCTTCAAATCCTCAGTTATTGCGCTTATAAAGGAAAATAGTGTCACACCGTTGATCCACCTGCCTTCGATTATAAGCATGAAAGTCAAGGGGACTTATCATATTTCTGATGTAGATTCTACTACAAGAGCAAACCTCTTGGATCCCACTACCACCTCAATTTTGAAAACATACAGATAACAAATGTTTGCAAGATTATTACCGTAATTACAAGTACCTTTGGTCTTCATATATATATACAGAAACCATAAACTCTCATACTTGTTAGTGCCATCCATACACTATAGTCCAAGAATATTTAATTCAATCCAGTCGTTCAAAACTGTTAAGAAAACGGATAACTGAATATCAATGACATTTTAGACTATGTTCCTACCTTCTTCTTCTTCATCAGTGTCAGAGTCATCACTGTCTCCTGTTGCATTCATCCTGTTCTCAGACAAACCAACACGTTTCCACACCATCACTGCGGTGTCAGCACCGCCTGTAGAGATTAGCTTGGTGTCACTCTGTGACCACCGTACGCTGGTAACATGAGCACTGTGGGCGGGATACTTCTTGAACTTAGCATACTTGCCCTGAGCAGAATAAAAAGTCAGCTTATTGAATCAGGGCAAACAGGATATTGAGTGGGAGTGTGAGAATGCTCGAGTAAGTGAAGCAGATTCTTCAAATTATCATTAGCAATATCAGTGTTGGCACATTTCAAATCTCGCAACACACAATAAGTGATGGGATTCAAACCTAAAATAATATAACCTATAAGGTTAACCCTGTCAGCAAGTTAGCATTGTGTCAGTTATCATCAATGGGATGACTACATGCCCTGCTACATATCTTTTGCTAGCTGAGAGAGCAAGTATGACTAAATCATGGTAGCTTCTACCTGAGTCTGTACCAGACAAACCAGCTGTAGACAGCATGAAGACCATATCCCATTTCATGAGGTCATATTGACCTGTTATCTCCACAACCACTACAAGGTGCTGTCATAGAGTTCATGTTACAAATTCACCAATCTAAGACCCCAAAAGAAATGTTATAAAGCAATACCTTTGCAGGGTAGTTGAAGAGCTTAACAAAGCCAAAGTCATCTGCTGTAGCAAGTAGGTTGCCAGACTTTGTGAGACTTGAGGCATTCACATCTGTCACATCACACTTGGGAGGCCATACCCCCTCACATGTGGCTCCCAAAACACATGTCCAGCTGTCCCATGCAAACTTTTCTATTTCCTGGTTCTTCAAAGTTATCCTCTTTCCCCTTGGAGCCTCAAAAAACAGCTGCTCCTTAGCACCTGAGTTCACCATCAGTACCTTTCCTGTGGGTGATAATTAATGATTTGTTTAATTTAAACCATTGTAAACTTGCAAATGCACACAAGGGTTGACTGACAAGCTAACAGCTTACACATAAATGTAATTAATTTTAAGAATTTGGAAATTTTAACCATAAATTGTATATTTATATACTTATCCTATCTCACGGTATGCATCTCTCTTCTTCTTCTACGACCATGTGTGGAAACGTGCTGTAGACTAAGTTGAATCAAAACTTCTTGCCCTCTGACCACCTGACCTCTGCCCCCACTCCAATAGCAGTACCTGTCAATCATCTCAAGCATGCAGATCGCTCAGATGATCATGTGACGTTCTGTGCCTGTCATTCTCGTCTTGGAACGTCCAGTAATCTGAGATGTGGGGCATGTCAGGTGGGCATCCATCGCGTGAGATAGGATAAGTATATTAATATACAATTTATGGTTAAAATTTCCAAATTTTTAAACTTATCCTATCTCACGGTATGCATTATTCCATGGTTGGAGGCGGGCCACAGATTACCTTGAGTGAATTCAATTCTACAACCGTCAGGTCGCAAAACACAAGGAGGCCAGGAGAAAGCACCAACTCCAAACTTGTGATGGGTTGCTTCTAGTGAAAAACCCTTGGCTTACACAACACATAAACTCAAGGGAGTGGGCGGTCCCGAATTAATGGTTTTCAGCCGCAACTTTTGACAAGCAAAAGGTCGCAGTTAGGCAAGTAAGTCTAAGACCTTAATCTGGACAGCCCCTGCTTCGAAACCCTCCACCACAGATACATGCTGGAAGGCGGTGAACGGGAAAACGGCCCAGTTGCTCAACTGATTTAACGTTCAGTACCAATCCCCCTAACTTACCAAGGGAAGAAAGGACTAGGAGCGGAACGCTTTGAAAACCACATTGGTAATCGGGAATCAACACTTCACTGACGTAATTGCTCAGAGAGTAGAGGTCAGTAAGCGGAGTGTCGACCACCTTTGCATGTAGCACAAGACTGGCCTCTCAGTCTAACAAGTCATGGATATGACAATGCAAACACACCCTAGTTCCCTAGGTGAGGACAAGACAACAAAGGTACAAAGATAAAGATGACATCGATATCTTTTATTAAGTACAGAAAGCAAACCCGACACACGGAAGGATTGCTTCTCATCTGCGAGCACGGGTCGATGACAGCTGCTGAGCTAGGACCAGAGGACCGAACTGGTGCAGACCCTCCACGTCTGTGACCGAGAGATCCCGAAGATAATGTGAGGCGAAAACAGTATCCGACTTCCAAACACATCCCTCCATGATAGTTCCTATGAAGCGCCATGAGGATTCGCCGTCGAAGGTGGAGGAAGGTCAGCATAGGCATAGGAACGCAGGATAGTGGATCTCATCCAAAACTCCAAAGTGGTGCGAGAGACTTCCGAGGTGGAGGCAGTAGACAACGGGATGAAGAGTCTCTTGCGCAACCTGCATCAGTCCTTAAAAGCAGTCAAGTAGATCTGTCATCAGGACCCAAGACAGTGGACAGTGGTGGAATCGTGAATGTGCGGTCCGGCTGTCCTGGTAGTTGGTTCTTGGCGGTGAAGTCCCACCTCAAACCAAGAAATACTTTTGCATGTCTTGACCTCTGGAGATGTCGAGGGCATGTAACTCGGAAATGCGGGCAGCAGTGGCCAAAGCGAAAAGAAAGAAGGTCTTAAAAGTGACATGCTCAAAGTCTTTCTGCTCCAAAGGTTCGTAGTCCGCTGACGTAAGATGACTAAGCACAACGGAAAGATCCCAAGCTGGTGGTCGGAACTTCCGGGATTGGTAAGATGACTAAGCACAACGGAAAGATCCCAAGCTGGTGGTCGGAACTTCCGGGATTGGTCAGCAAGTTTATAAGATCTGAGGAGAGACTGAAGCTCAGGAACTGTAGACACAATCACACCTGAGGCTGGCGCAATAACGGTGTTAAGAGCAGCCAGGTAAGTAGACAATGTAGAAACCTTAAGCTTCCTGGAGGTTCGAAGATGTTGTAGGTACTCCGCCACCATCTGCGGCAAAACACAGTAGTGGGAGAATCTATACCCTTCGTCCTGCAGTACGCCTCAAAATTCTTCCACTTGTCATCATAGAGTGACCTAGTGAAGGTGCAATGCGCTGTAGTGATGGCAGTAGCGACATGCTAGAATATACCTTAGCAGTTAGCGACTTATGGAGATGCACCAAACGTGAAGATGGAGTGTGAGCAGAGACCAATGCAGCTGATTGGAGTGCGGATGAACCAGAAGATCGTCGCGTTCGGGAAGTGGTACAGGATCTGGATCGGCCAGTTCTTGTAGATCTACGAACCAACCTCTGGCCAGCCAATAGGGCGCGACCAAAAGCAATGTCATCTGCTGAGTCATGCGCAATTTCAGTAGTAAGCATGGAAGTAGGGCCACTGGTGGAAACGCGTATGCATTTAGGTCGTCCCAAGGAATGGCTAGAGCGTCGAGACCCCAGGCAAGAGGGTCCGGAATCGGAGACACGAACAGAGGCAACTGGTGATTGAAATGTGTGGCGAACAGATCCACTGTCGGAGTCGTCAGCGGAAGGCAGACGGTCTGGAACACCTGTGGATGTAGTTTCCATTTTGTCGGGGATGAATCGGACGGGACAGAGAATCCGCAATCACGTTCTTCACTCCTGGAATATGGTTGGCTCGAACAGAGATGTTGAGAGTGTCCACCAACTGGAAGAACCGTTGTGTCCACTGCAGGAGTTGAGGAGACCCTGTCGACCCCATCCGGTTGATGTGCCACACTACTGCTGCATTGTCCGACCGGACCATGAGAGAGGTCGATCGTAGAATCTCTTGCCAGTGAGTGTTGGAAATAATCACCGCCCTGAGCTATAGAATATTGATGTGGTAAGTGTGATCTGCGAGAGACCACTGCCCTGCCACTTGCTGATCGAGACGGTGAGCCCCCCACCCCTTGTAGTGATGCGTCCACGTACAGGTGGTGAGTCGGGACGAACGGCCTTAAGCAGACTCCGCCGCAGACCTTCGACTCTTCCATCCACCATAGGAGAAGGGGATGGAGCGCCCGAGGTAATGTGATCAGGGAAAGCAGGTTGCCCACCCTGATGTGTGGAGCCAGGAATAACTGCAAAGGTCGAAGCTGAAGTTGACCCCTGAGGGTCAACGCCTGGGCCAACGTCAAGAGACCCAGGAGCTTCTGCCATTGATGAAGAGTCCTGGGTTGAGACAACGCAAGGGGAATTAACTGCCGGATCTTGTAGAAACGGTCCCTCGGCACAAACAGTCTGTTGAGCTCTGTGTCGAACACCGGCCCGATAAACTACAGGCGGCGTGAAGGGACTATAGTACTGTCGGAAATAGAAAAAAAACTGTTTTTAGGCTGTTACTCTGGATCCCTAAAATTGACACAATTGCAAATAGCATATGTCGAAATAACCCATTTCGGCCTAACTGGGCGTTCAGTGGGATGCGTAATATGATATCCAGAAAAGCATGTTTACTCGTAAAATTGGGCAAAACTTAGAAAAAACCCGAATAGCTGCTGAAAACAATAGATCCGACTATAGATGGCAATGAGGTCGCTCAGCCAGGTATGACGATGGACCGTCGACTCACCTGGCATGAAATGCACGTGCTGCCTACAGGCACAAGGGGTCATCTCAAAGATATTTTGTGCTTTTTCATGTGTGTTGACTATTTCTCATCTACTGATTAACATATTATGTGTCTTTCTTTCATAAAGTTTATGTTGAGATATGTAAGAGAGTATGATACCCGAAAACCATAGAAACGCATCGTAGTATATAGGTGGCATGACCACCCGAAGATCGACAGGACTGGATATTATTTGTAAATTGTTATGACGTGCCGTGTACCTCCCAAGTATAATTGCCCTAAAGGATTATCTTATCTTAGCTGATATCTCTATCCCCAAGCCCGACCCCAGGTTTTGCTTTTGAGGCGACCCCTCCTATTTGTTTCTTTTTATAGTGACAGTGAGACTGCATGGTAGCTACATCCTTAATAGTTTTGGCATAAAAGTTAATATTTTTTACGTCAGCTATTGTTTATAATGAATCTACGTCTAATTTCAAATTGGGCATTTAAAAAGTGTCCTTTGTAATACAATATCGTTGCACACTAATTTGCATAAAGCCATGGTCTGTTCCAAATAAGTCTTTTTGGACTTAGAAAAAAACCGCATTGCTCATTTCTGCACTAATTTCTCCTTAGTAAAGTCCTTTTTCTCCGTTTCCTATCTCTCTACCACTGAGACTGTAGTTAGGCCAAACTTAGTTTAACAGATATTTCACACTTTCACATATCAACTACATAAATTGTAGAGATAAATGAGAAAATACAGTTTTTTTCTATTTCCGACAGTACTTTAGTTCCGACTTCTCCATGTTGACAAGCCAGCCTAACTGATTAAGTAGCTGCATCGTGAACCCCATGTGACGTAGGAGGAGTGCAGTCGTTTTGAGCCTGGATACAGTTGTCGATGTATGTTTCGAAAAGTATCCCCTTGCGATGGGAGGAAGCTGGTGATGGGCTTCGTCACCCGTGTAAATAGCCACGGGGTCGAAGAAATTCCAGACGGGAGAACACGCCACTGATAGTGAGTGCCCTCGAAGACAAAACAAAGTGATGGTCCGGGAAGATCAGGATGTGAAGGTAAGCATCCTGTAGGTCGAGGCTGACCATGTAATCCTCCGGTTTGATGATAGTCTTGAGTAGAGACACTGACACCATACGGAAATGAGGCGGTAGTTGTAGGAACGTCTCGTTAAAGACCTTCATGTTGAAGATGAGTCTCAATTTGTCGGAATCCTTCTTCGGAACCAGAAAGATTGGAGAGTAAAACCCTGGGTTGGCAGGAGTCGGGCCAAAGGATTCGATCGCAAGTTTCTGAAGTAGCGTAGCTATGGTGGATCGCAGCACAACCGTTTGATGAGCGGGATACATCCTGTGCTCCGGAAATAATGTGAGAGGAGGGTTGCCGATGACGGGAAATTGAAACCCCTTGGACAGAGTGGAGAGAACGTAAGATAGTCCAATTGAGGGCATACATCCCAAGTCTTCCGCCTACTGGGGAAGCCTGGATAGGTACGATTGGAGGCGGAAGGACCCAATCGTGCTCTGATGTCTGCAAGTCACTGCTTTTCGGTCTTCTGAGTGGAGGAGTGATCTGAAGCAGAAGCTGGTCTGGAAGAAGTGAACGACCGGCGCTGACGTTTGGAAGTAGGAGGTCCCGAACGAAGATCTGGGTTGGTCGGCACATGGCGAGCTGGCCGCCGTTGTACTACTACTTGTAACCGCTGAAATTTCAATAGCTCCACAGAGACCTGCTAATGAGCATCCTGACCAACCTTTGTGGCTATACCTCTTATAGCCCCGTTAAAGAGTGATCTGCCCGACCAAGGTTGATGGAAAAGATCTGTCCGAAATCTATCCTCCCATGATGATAAGTGAAGCGGGCCCCTGCGCCGAACCGCCGTGAGGTAGGAGAAAAAATGGGCCAGCTGATCTAAGATGGTCTGGAACTGCTCCTGTAACAACACCATCGAAGCCTGAATATAAGCCTGTTGAGGGAAGCCGCATGCGAGACAGACATAGCCACAGCTTCAGTCGCCGTCAAAACCATGTTGAGGGGAGCTAAAATCTTCCGAATGGCGCCATCCAGGTGCGACAACTCACGGTCCTCAACCAGAAAGGGAGAATAGGCTCTCTGTTTAGATCCCAAAAGCGCAATGTCATCATCCACAGAAGGAGAGACAATCAACGTAGAAAACCCATGAACATGGGAAGACGCCGAGTTAAAGCTGGGTGCCGCAAACCCATCCTTGACTTTCCTTAAGTTGTTAAATACCTCATCAATGCAGGGACGAGGTGGGAAAGTGATAGAACCAAAATCACCCAGATACATATCAAAGCTAGTCCGAGGGTGAACTGCTACGAGGAAGTCGAAGGTTATCAGCAATCCAAACCAGTAACTGAGGTGTGTCGACCGCATCAATACTGACATCTGAAGTCGAAGTGCCATCTGACTGACATCTGAAGTAGGAGAAGGCATAACCGATTGAGGAGCTTCATCCACGGAATGAAGTGGAACGGTCGGAGGACCAGCTGGCTGAACAGATGAGGATGGTGCTGGGGCTTGCTGACGTAAAGCTGAGGCCACAGCTTGAACGATGGCATCAAAATCAAGAGGTTGAGATGCAGAACCCTCAGACGACGGATCCCAAGAAACCGGTAAAATAGGCCTGGCCGAGGCGATAAATGTAGTCCCCGAGGTAGGAGGCAAAGTAGAACCAGAGGTTGGCGTAGGTGGATGACCTGGCAAAGACGGCAATGTTGAACCAAGAGAAAGCAGCACACTGGAAGAATGTGCTACACTGGAAGTAAGCGTTGCACTGGGAACAAGTGATGCACCGGGAACAACGTATGCACACTGCAAGTAAGCGCCGAACCGGAAGCAAGCGACGCTCTGACAGGAAGCGCTGAACTGGGACCAAGCAGCATATTGGAAACAAGCGGCGCTCAGACAGTAATCGCTGAACCGGGACCAAGCGGTGCATTGGAAGCAAGCAGCGCTCCGACAGTAAATGCCGAACCGGGATCAAGTGGCACATTGGAAGTAAGCGGTGCTCCGACAGTAAGCGCTGAACCGGGAGCAAGCGGTGTATTGGAAGCAAGCAATGCTCCGACAGTAAGCGCCGAACCGTGAGCAAGCAGCGCATAGGAAGCAAGCAGCCCTCTGCCAGTATGCACCGAACCAGTCGCAACATCCCAAACAATCCACACACAACGCATGTGGGTCCGCAGCAGAAAAGTTACTATTACACCTGTCACAATGTTTGCGTTTATTGGAAGCACTGCGACGAGATCTACCCATGTTGAACACACAGTCAAAATCTCACTAAGAATCAGCACACGTCCACATGATGTAGCAACAAGAAAGAGAATGACAAGAAAGAGAATGAACGTCACATGATCATCTGAGCGATCTGCACGCTTATTGAGATGATTGACAGGTACTGCTATCGGAATGGGGGCAGAGGTCAGGTGGTCAGAGGCCAGGAAGTTTAGATTCAACTTAGTCTACAGCACGTTTCCACACATGGTCGTAGAAGAAGAGAGGTGCATACTGTGAGATAGGATAAGTTTAAAAATTTGAAACTTTCAATGTTTACCTTCTTTGTCACAACAGATATGATATGGTGTGCATGTGACACACGGAATCAACGATAATCACTGTTAATTCAGTTAGTTTTATCCCAACAAACTTCCAGGTTGACATGCATCACAACAACATATGCTAAATTCAGGAGATACGTTTTTCAATTACAGAAATCAGGTGCTAAAGTTTCCCAACATGATAGAAAACTGCATGATGTTGAAAAAGGTAATATACCTGTATTTTCCAAACATATTTTGATACACAGTCATTAGATTTTCAAATCATGGCATACCACAATACCAGTAATAGAGAGCACTTCTAATCAATGTATGCTCAATGAAGTTTTCAGCTACACCTACCGCTGTTATCCCAATCAATATGGGTGATGTAGCTTGATGCCCCCCTTGCAGGTGCCCACTCGCTTAGTGCTCAACACATTGTAGATGTCCACAAAGTTGTCGTGGGAGGCAACCGCAAGGTACTTTCCTGCACCTGAAGTAACATTGTAACAGATACAGTCATACTTAGTAGATACATCCACAAGTTTGAAAGATATGATATCTGAATCTATATCAACAGTTATTTACCTGGAGAGAATCTGATGTCCGATATTTCCTCCTTCCTGTGATGATGTGAGATGATGTCATCCATACTTTCTGCATTCACAACTACGAAACTCCCTGAAAAACAAACAATGTGTTTACAAATAACTATAACTGCCCGTAAATGATTCGGATCAGGTAACAAGATCATTCTCAAACATATCTGCCATGGTAACTACATGTGCAACATGAATCCTTGCTTGAAAAATTAAAAGGCTTAAAGCCTCATAAAAAGCCTAATTATGTGTAACTTATCCTGTAATATTCCTGGACACCAACTAATCATCAAGAAAGATCAATGCCATAAAACAATACTAAACATCCACAGACACAAGCACCCCTACACATACCATCTCTGTGTCCAATGGCTAGAGCCTTGCCATCAGGTGAGAATGTGACAGATCTAGCTGGCTGCTTGAACTCCTTGTAGTTGATCATCTTGTTTTCTGGACCAAGCTCCCACAGCCTCAAGGTCTTGTCATCACTGACTGTAGCATAGACTTCCTGGGATGGGTGCACGGCAAGGCCCCAAACCTCACCCTCCATGTGCCCCTATCAACAAGCATAGATCACAATCACTGACTGCTTACACTGATCAGTTGGAAGTACTTTCTGCTAGAAGCCCTATGGGCAGCAAACTATCTTTAAGTGCATGTAAGTTGTTGCACTGGCAATAAAGGCAAAACAAATATTTTGTTCAAAATTGGAAATTTTAACTATAAATTGTATATTTATATACTTATCCTATCTCACGACTTGCACCTCTCTCTCTTCATTCGACCATGAGTGGAAATGAATTAAACTTTGCTCCAGGCCTTCCTTGTCCCTGTCCCGTGCTGTGCATGCCTTCCTGCCTTAGCCATGCTCACTAGGCCGTGACAGCACGTGGCATGCGCAGTCCTCACCCACGTGATCACCTTCCATACTCATTCTCGATCTTGGAGCCATAAAAGGACAAAACCGGAACGGTGGTAATCTAAGTAGTGGGGAGGTAGGGTGGGACTTTATCGCGTGAGATAGGATAAGTATATAAATATACAATTTATAGTTAAAATTTCCAAATTTTTAAACTTATCCTATCTCACGACTTGCACTTATCCCACGGTAGGAAGGTGGGTCATAGATTACCTGAAGTTCAAGCACTAACAGCTAAGCGTTATGCCAAAACAACCGTAGGAAGCAACTACAAGGCAGGCCAATAACTACCAAAGTTACTACGTGTGAGGGTTAGTGCAAACCCATTGACTTACTAAGCACAAGTGCTCCGAGGGACCGGGATTCCCGAGCAATGTGGTGTTCAGTCACTACCTTCACAAAGTGAAAGGACGCAGCTTAGCGAGTGTAATCAGTCGCATCGCCACGATTTCCAAGGTACCCCCGTAATAAAAGTCTAACGACTAGTATCGGGCCAGCCCCTGCTTCGCAAACAACCCCCACAGACACCGTCCCAAGGAGGGTGAAAGGGTAATTGAATCGGAAAAACTCATTTTAACGTTCAGTACCACAACATCATCTTATGACTTCCACTACTTACCACAGTAAGATCACATAGATGTGTATAGGTACATAGGAGCATGAACGCTACGAAGTGTAACACTTCGGGAATGACTCACTTCACTGACGTAATTACTCCGTGGAGCAGAGGACAGTAAGTGAGGTGGCGACCCTCCAGCGTCTCAAAAGCGAGACATGCGATGGTTAGTTCGAACCCACTGACTTACTAAGCACAAGTGCTCAAGGGACCGGGATTCCCGAGCAATGTGGTGTTCAGTCACTACCTTCACGAAAGTGAAAGGACGCAGCTTAGCGAGTGTAATCAGTCGCATTACCACGATTTCCAAGGTCTGACGACCAGTATCGGGCCAAACCCTGCTTCGAAACAACCCCCACAGACACCGTCCCGTGGAGGGTGAAAGGGTAATTGAATCGGAAATCTCACAAGTCCCTGGAAGAATCGAAGACACAAATCAGAAATAAAATTCAGAATTTTATTCAGATTGTACACAAAGCAGAAATGATCGCAACTGGTGATCACCTGCGCTGAAGCTGATGGTTGTCCCGAGTGCCGAACAGGTCTACATCTGGTCGTGATAACAGGTAGATCTTTGATTGGAAGATCAGAGGCAGTTGTTTCCACTCCGTGAGTGACAGGGCATCGGCAATGGCATTCCTCATCCTGGGAATGTGTTGGGCTCTGGCCACTGTGTGGAGTGAATCGATCAGATGATAAATTCGAAACATCAACTGAAGCAGAGCTGCTGATTCTGTCGACCCCTGATGGTTTATGTACAAAATTACCATCGAAATGTCTGATTGAGTATATGAGTGAACCGTAGTTCAACTGCCCAATGCCGAACAGCGAGAATGACAGGGCTGAATTCCAATTCGTTGTGATGAAGGGCCCTTTCTCCTGATGACCACTGCTAGGCCACTTAATGGAGAAAGTGAGCGTCCCAGCTTGAAAGATGTGTCAACGAACAGGTGTTGAGTGGGTATGAAGGGCACCATAGAGACTCCAACACAAACATTCCACTTATCCACGAAAGACTGAATGTAGTTGTGCAGGAAGACGAATCAACTCCCTGGGGTTGTCGTCCCCGATGTATGGGCACAGAAACATCTGAAGAGGGCGAAGCTGCAGCTGGCCCCTGTAAGTCAGCTTGTGCCGACGTCAACCACCCTAGTAACTTCTGCTACTGGAGAAAAGTTCTGGGTTGGACCAGCACTAGTGGTGCGTTGCACTGAATCTTGTCCCACCTCTCCTGGGGCACAAACATCATGACCTGTCGTGTTGAATATTGTCCCAATAAAAAGAAATCATCGGGTCGGTGTTACCTCCGATTTCTCCAAATTCAGCAGCCATCCTAATTGCGTGAGCAACTCGATGATGAACTGCCTGTGGAGAGGAAGGACTGGATCCTGCTGGGCTTGAACACAGTCGTCGATATAGTTCTCCAATGTCACACCTCGACAATGCAGGTAGCTTGTTATCGGATTGGGTATCTGAGTAAAAAGCCACGGGGCCGCACATATGCCCATACAGCAGGACACTCCATTGGTATCAATGACGCCCCTTGAAGGTAAATCGAAGATACTTCCAATAGTCTGGATGTATCCGGATGTGAAGGTAGGCGTCTCGCAGGTCGAGGGACTTGAGAGGTCTAACCACTCTTGCCTCTGACAAAAACATATCTCCTGATATAAGAACGTTCAATAAGTCGAGCAACTACGTCAGTTCTGACGGAGCGCTCAATGTAGTATGTTCGGCGCATGGAAATTGTCAGTCAATCTACAGGAACGTTCACATTGTAAACGAATTGAAGAAACTCGTACGATCGGTGACCCCAGGAACGTTTCGGTTGGCCGAACAAAATGATGGTTCGCCAGGTGGAGTGATAAAGGTAGTAGATAGCTGCCTGGTGACAGTCCTTGCATAACTGCAGTGACCTCTGAACTAAGTGCTTGAGCTAGTCAAACCGTTCACGGGTGTTTTTGTCTGTCACCCTCGATAAGCAGTCTCTCTCGACTGGCTGTCAAAATCCCGACACAATCACTCTTACCGGGAATGGCAGCGTTCATTGTTACTAGCATTTAAAGGCTGGACTTGGTATCCGATTCGTGAATTGTTTCGGTGGGATGAAACCGTACGAAGAGGAGAACGGTTATGTTCCAACCACGCCGATCCACGATTCAATGATGAATGCTTGGATTTAGAAGTTTCCGAGGACTTTGAACGGTCCGAAGAAACGGATCTACGAGATGAAGTAGATCGCAGGTCTTGTGTAGAGGAAATATCAGTCATTACCACCCTCGCATGCCCATGAGAACTTGAGCTAGGTGAGGAAAGCGTCCCAAATGCCTTTTAACATTCTCAGACAAATAGGAATCAGAAGAAGCGTCTATAAAATCTTCTTTAGGATACACGGGAGATTTAGAACGGCGAGCAGGTAGGGTGGGGCGATGTGAATATTGTTTTTAGCGATAGATGGACCAGATCCCGCATAAGCATTCCTGGCCCTATCTGCCAAACGTCTGGCACAAGCACGTTTGTAAGCTTTAAAATCCTCATTAGACAGTCCTGAACACTTAGGACAACGTTTGTCCCAATCACAACAACCTACATAATCAACACACGATGTGTGTGGGTCCCAAGCTGAAGAAACTTTATTATGCTGAGCGCACAAGAACAGGCTTAACCATGTTGAGCAAATATCAGATGAAAAAATTTCACGTCCACTCTGTTGAGCAACAAGAAAGAGAATGAGTATGGAAGGTGATCACGTGGGTGAGGACTGCGCATGCCACGTGCTGTCACGGCCAAGTGAGCATGGCTAAGGCAGGAAGGCATGCACAGCACGGGGACAGGGACAAGGAAGGCCTGGAGCAAAGTTTAATACGTTTCCACTCATGGTCGAATGAAGAGAGAGAGGTGCAAGTCGTGAGATAGGATAAGTTTAAAAATGTGTGATTGTATTTATTTTCAAAGGGATTTATCATTGGGTTATCTGCAATAATCTAAAATTAAGCTATGAAAGCCTTTTCCTTTTTGTCATGTTTATAGTTCTCAAAAAGGTCAATAGGTTAGCGTACGATTTCATTATTTTTCACTATCTGCACCGTGCAAACAAATAATATCACTGTCACTGTCAGAACAGGATTCCCTAATAGCAGACTGAGAAGGATACTCCTGACCAAAGTCACTATCTCTAGTACTGCTCCCAATACCGCATGTCTAGAGGATTATTTTTACAGATGGTTGCTTTTCATCAATAATGTCTTCTCTCGCTTGATTGCAGTAGGCAAAATCAATTTGTTCACCATTACAAGTGACATATTACACAGTGACCACTGACCTTCCATGAAATGTCTAAAGATAGTGTACACAATGTGAGGTTTAGTATTGATTTATCATCCTCGATAATCTCCAGGACATACGTTACGATCACTCTCCACTATACCTTGGATGCATCCACGGCTTGGCCCGATGATTATTTGATTACCTCCCTTGGCTGTCTTTTTATCTAATGAGGTGTCTACACTGGGAAGTTGAGCGAACCAATCACAACTCAATTTTGCTCCATAAATTATCTAACCGTTTAAACTTGGCAACACAATTGATGCACAGGTACTCTGAAAGAGGAAGGAGTTCTTTCATATATTTTTTTAAAGATTCAGATCTGTCAATTTGTCTGTATTATTTCCCCCAAAATTTGAGTGGCACTGCGAACAAACCCCGCGACTGCGACCGCTATCTCTGTTGACACTGGCAAGCTCGGATGTAACGGCGGCTTCGCTGATTGGCTACTGTGAGGATACGGAGCCGTGGATGCATCCAGGGTATAGTGGAGAGTGATCGTAACGTATACCCTGGAGATTATCGAGGATGTTGATTTATGGGCACAAAAAAGACTGGTTTAACTTCCAGTAACCAATTCTCTTCATACACATGATAGGAAAACTGACTGACTGACTGAGTTTAGTTTTACGCCGCTTTTAGCAATATTCCAGCAACATCACGGCAGGGGACACCAGAAATGGGCTTAACACATTGTGCCCATGTGGGGAATCGAACCCGGGTCTTGGCGTGACGAGCCAACGCTTTAACCACTAGGCTACCCCACCGCCCTGATAGGAAAACACTTATTTATACCAATTTATACCAATGAAACTGATGGAATGTACTTGTGGTGGAAAATGTTTAATGCACTGTGTGCAGCCTGACAATAAAAGCTACCTACACTAGCAATATTGTACCCGCACTGGTGCAGCCTGGATATCAATCAATATAGAAATCAATCCCTGTAGCTATTACTATAAATTAGGAATTGTAATTGGAAACGTAATAATTCCAATTTGGGATTTTTGATGGATATTTCCTTTGGATTGAACATATTACTATATGTTTAGTTCTCCAGCTAAACAGTAACCACTGATCTACTTACTTGAGTAAGAATGGTCAAGGGTCCAGACTTGTCCACTTCTAGGATTTCTCCATTCTTTGTCCCCACCAGGATCTTTCCGTGTCCGAGGACAATAGCTCTTACAGCTGGGGACTCTGTGATGAACATCCCACGTGACCCTGGAGCTACAGATGCTCTTTTGATGGCATACGTCTTCAGGCATCGCTCAAACTGATCATCCCACAAGCCAATCACACCATCTTTGCCACCAGTAACAAATCCCTAGAAGGATAAACAGTTGGCTTCTTCACTTCTCTTAAACATCTATATCATATTGAAAATAAACAAAGGGTCAATTTTCCACTTGGTAACAGTAACATCTGTCTGAATAGTACCTACCTTATCCAGCGAATGCATGGCAAACACTGGACCCTCATGAGCCTTGACTGTCTTCTGGAGTGTGATGCCATTCCATATGAAAACATTGCCATCGCTGCCACCAGAGAAACACACATCTGCTGTCTTGCCGTATGCCACACACAGCATGTCACACAGCTTGGCTACTTTCCCCACAGTGCCTCGGTTGGAGGTGAACCCACCACCTGTCATTGAAACTGCTGTTTAACACCACACTCACCAATACTCCAGCGATATAAAGGAAGATTGTAAATAACTGAGTTGGGGTGAGACAAACTAGTGATTGACAGATCATGAGTATAAGGGGTCATGGTACAGGTACACAGAGGGTGAGCCCACTTGAGGTACAAGATTGCCACACAGATTTCAGATTGTATCAAGTGAGTTTCTATTAAGACTAGGCTTTCCCCATTTTCCCTTATATGTAAAATATTTATTGTGCATGCGGCCTGATTGGACAAACATGATGTTGGGGTTTTAAATTGCCTTGATGACAAAATTACAGGTTGCAGGGTACTAATTCTAGTCTGGAATACCACAAGTTTTATATTTTTACAAATAATATACATAGTATGGGTCCATACATATCAATGTATATCGTTGAATGACACCATAACATCCAATTATTAGTTACGGGTTAAAAAGAACAAGATACAAGAATTAAAGGTGAAACAAAGGCACAAACACTTCTATTTGACTTTACCTGTTTGAGACCAGAACTTGATATGCTTCACTCCAACAGTGACAAGTTTGCTGTTCTCAAAGGGATTCCACTTGACCACAAAGATCTTGTCCTTGTGACCCCGTGTGGTTGCAAGTTTCTCTCCCTTCTTCCAGTCCCAGACCACAACACAGTGGTTGTCATCGAGACCCACTGACACAAGCTTCTTGCCATCACCTGAAGAGCAAAACCCTCATCAGGTATATGGACTTGAAAAGAGGCCTCAAAGATAATTATTTAAAGAAACCAAAGCTAAAGAAGTGATATGAGCAAGGGAAACCACATAGCACCTCTTTTCATATCTAAAAGCAGTGGGGTAGCCTAGTGGTTAAGTGTTCGCTTGCCACACCGAAGACCCGGGTTTGATTCTCCACATGGGCACAATGTGTGAAGCCCATTTCTGGTGTCCCCCAATGTCATATTGCTGGAATATTGCTAAAAGGAGCATAAATCTAAACTCACTCACTCACTCTTTTCATCACTGGTTAGGTCAGGCAATTCATATTCCTAAACAGCCATGCATTTTTGTGCCTTATTGACACTTGAATCAACTTCAATAGTGCAAAATATGAGGAGAGAGTTTCAAACTCATTCCACATGACACAAGACTGGTATGGCTTGGGGAGACACTACTAAACACTACTCACAAATTCATGTTATTTATGCCTTACCTGAGAAGTCGACAGCACAGACTCCCCTCTGGTGGTGTCCCTTCAGGATGGACCCTGTCTTTAATGTCTCAGCATCCCACACATGGATTGATGGTTCTCGACCAACCTACACATGATACAGAGGAGCAGGTTCATGAGCAGAGGTTAAATAAAAAAAAAACATGGCACATTATAATTAAAAAGCACAAATAATTACTGAAGCAAACACAGAACGGCCTTTCAGAATAAGTAAATGGTTACTAAGTAGTAGGCAAAAGCATTAATTTCCAAACTGATGAATAATGAGACTCAGTATGATAATTGTGGATCTGAATTTTCTGCATACCTTGTGTAACTTATACCTTGACATGACTAGTGCTGCTGAATGCAGGTTCAAACCAACAAAGTCAAATTTTTGTGTGAACATGTTTGATAGAATGAATACACTCTCACCTGTCCTGTCGCTACCAGGTCCTTAATGGGGTGTATGCAGAGACAGAGGATGTCATCCGTGTGCTGAGTGTAGAACCTCTGGGAGTGCTTCTCCTTGTTGTACACAATACCAACAGAGGCCACATGGTACACAATCTCACCATTCTGTGTGTAGAACAGGTTGTTGCGGCAATCATAGCCTCGATACCTAAGAGACATTATCATATGATCAAGTAGAGTGAGTTGGATTTAACCACTCCTGATACAGGATTCCAGTTACATCATGGCTGTTAGCTTATTGTGAGAGGACAGCCAAAAGTGACGCAGGTTGCAGACATTTACACCTTTGGTGGAATTCTCAAGCACTGATATGGGGCTGGAAACATGATCAGAGCAAACCTTGAATCAAACCCACTATCATAGGTTTCTGGCACTTGCATGGGACACAACTCTGCACATCAAATCACAGCACCATAGATGACTGAATCCCTTGTATTATTTAATAAAGAATGCACGAGTTTGTGACTAATGCCCTTGAACAATATTTCAGAGCTTGTCAGCTTAATGGGTAAGGAATACAGAAGCGAGATTTCTTAGCCATTACAATTTTATGATACCCATAAGCATGGGCAAAATGTGTTGATTCCAGCAGTCAAGGATCATTATAATAAGGTGAACGTTGTTACATCAGAATACGGAAGTATCATCTCACAATAGATTGAAAGAAGTGAGAGACTATAGTAATACACAGTTTTTATCAATATCCAATACAACTATAAAGAGGCTACCCCAAAGAACATGTTGAAGAACATACCCATGAACATACTCCAGCTTGAGGCTGTCTGTGGGTCCACTGCTCCTCTTCTCACCAGGTTTCATGTCTGATCTCATCAACTTCTTGAAGTTCTTGGTGTCCTCTTTGTAAAGGTTTCGGTCATATCGGACTTGTTTCTCACGTTCCAGGTCCGAATCAATCTCACCAATATCAGAGAGATCTGAGTCACTTGCCTCACTGTTAGAGTCAATGTAGGCTGTGGAAAAGACTTAGTGATAGTGACAAGACCAGTAAGGCACATACATGAAACCCTGTAGCTATCTTGCCAGTGTTTCTGCTGGGATTTTTTACGGCTGGACATTGTGACCGGCTAGCATTTCAAATACCGGTCATTTGTAAATTTTTAACGGTCAAGTGATCACGCTTTTCATTGTGGGCGAGACCTTGCAACCAATCAGAAATGTAGAGGGTATAACAATGCATCAATGCTGCTATTTTAGCCTGGGTTTTTCCAAAACTGCTACTTTGTATTTGACAACACCTCAATGTCATTGTGAAAACATAATATTTTTGAGGAGAAATAAAACTGACAGGGGTAATTTAAATTGATTTTAAAATTTGCCGGACACAATCACCGACAGCCTTTGAAAGTTCAGTGTATACTGGATAACGGAAACACTGATCCTGCCCCAATTGTAATCACCTGGACTGATTAGGACTGGTGATAACTTGGGATATAAGTCGGGACATGTATATATTGGTTTAAAGATTTTGTTTACGCTCTTCTGACAACTTCATTCAAACATGCATGAGGTGCTTGTCGGTTTTAATCAAACCCTCTACACCAAGGTATATTTATGAAATATATTGGAACTTTTTGAACTTCAATACATGCTGTCTTGGTCTACCCTAAAATGCTGAAACCTGGAAGACTCTTAGAGGTTGTGTGAGTGTCCAATTAACTGAATGACAAAAGCATCTTAAAACTACACAGAACAAAGTCATACCAAATATTTAGAGGTTGACTTCTCTGATAGTCTGTATTATATCAGAGAGACTCTAGACAACTATTTATTCCATGTATAGTCATTTGTTACCATTGACCTGTTCCGGCAAGTCATCATCAGTAGCACCCTCTGGTAGATACCGCCACTGGAACACAGCATGGTCAGCACCCCCTGTTGATATCACATGATGACGATCCGCAGAGAAGCGGACATTAGTCACATGTGAAGAGTGTCCAACATACCTCCTGAACTTGGCACCTGAAAATCAAATATCAGTAACAAGTTTTGCATTGGCATTGAATACAGGCAATTCTTAACTGACATATTTTTTACACCAGCTTACTTCCTCACAATCACTACATTTTCTCCCCTTTTGTCTCAGTTTACTCTGTTGATTCTGTGTCAGTGGAATGTTAATTGTTCAATTTATCCAATCGCTGACTTGTCTGGCAAAGAAAGCATTATTTACATGCCTTGTCATATACAAGGATGAGAATGGGTATGAGTGAAAAGAATTCCGCTGATCCGCGGAAAAATTCTCATCCCTGCATATAGGTGCGTCTCGTAAAACAACATTAACTCTTTTTGCCATCTGCATACAAGTATAAATGCAAATAAACTTGCATGGCCCAAGAATATGTGGATAATAATGTCTGCATTGACATATTTTATCAAATTAGTGATAGGGCAATGTTTGAGTTCTTTGTACTGAAAACAGTTCAATACTTACCTCCTTTACCAGTGGCATGATACACAGAGCTAACTTGCAATCACTCACCTTTCTTCAAACATGGGAATCTGAACAGCTTTACAAGCCCGAAGTCGTCCCCAGTGACAGCAACCTCTCCACCAAAATTTGAGTCTAGAGCATTGACATCATTTGTGTCAGTGTATTTCTCCCAGATGCCATTGACTTCGGAGCCGAGGACACCAGTGAACGTGCCCCAGTGGATGCTGTCCACCTCCTCTTTGTTAGTTGCCTGTTTACCCACTGTAATACAGGTTTAAGAAATGATGAAAATAACATAGGATTTAAACTCCATTCGTGACATAATGCAATTGGAAATTTTAACTACAAATTGTATGTCTGTATACTTATCCTATCTCACACGATTTACGCTTTTCTCTCTTGCTTCGACGGTGAGTGGAACGAATGTGAACATTCCCCTGTATGTCTATCTTGTCCATATGCCCGTGTTCCCCAGGCTGCTCTCCTTATAGGACAGGTCCTTAGTCCCTCGCTAAGTGTGCAGCACGCTCCCCTACCTACCCATGTGACTACCTCAGAGTGATCATTCTCTTCTTGGAGCCAATGACAGTTATGGCTTACAAAGCACAATCGCTCCCAAGGAGTGGGTGCTCCCGAGCGATGTGGTGTTTGGCCGCAACCCTTGCATAAGCAAGGGGACGCAACTAGGCAAGTAATCTTGCTTTGCCACGATTTATCAGAGTAGCCCCGTAATTAAAGTCTTATGACAAGTGATCAGGCCCGCACCTGCTTCAAGACAGCCCCCCCCCAACACCAAGGGGAAAAGGTAACTGAATCGGAAAGCTCACAATTTTAACGTCCAGTTCCAAAACAACACCACATGACTTCCACTACTTACCACAGTTAGGTCATAACAGTGTGCTAAGGTACTTAGAAGAATGCTACAAAATCCATAGGAAATCGGGAAGGACTCACTACACTGACGTGATTGCTCTGTGGAGTAGAGGTCAGCAAGTGAGATTGTCGAACACTTCAGCATCGCAAAATATGAGAAACTAACCATCTGTAGATCCGTGTAAAGAGAAATTGCAATACCTCAATAAAACTGAGTGAAGAGTTCTAATCCCAGAGAACAAAGAAATACAATGCCAACTGTACTTATCTGTGTTGATGGGCCGACGACAAATGCTGGGCCAGGACAACGGGTCCGAACTGGTGCAGACCTTGGACATCCATTACAGATGAGTCCCTCAAATAATGCGAAGAGAAGACAGTGTCCGAATGCCAAAAACAACCCTCTATGATGGCTGTCAGGGAGCAGTTGATATGTAAGGCCATCGTTGAAGCTAATCCCCGGGTCTCATGTGGATTGGATGCGGTCTGGGGTGGGAGTCCAGCAGAGGCGTACGCCCTCAGTATGGTAGCACACATTCAGAAAGACAATGTTTTCCAGGAGACCTCCGCCTTCAATGCAGTAGAAAGCGGGATGAATAACCTCCTATGAAGTCGGCAGCGTTCTTCTGAGGCAGCAAGGAAGATACGTAGAGCTCTGACAGGGCCCAGAGACAAATCTTCAAAATCATCTGGCCTGATAATGGTTGACAACGTTGGGATGGTAAACATTCTATCCGTTTGTCCGGGCAACTGGTTCTTCGCGACAAAGTCCCAGAAATACTTTGCCATGGGTTTTCCGTTCGAATCGCATACTATTAACATCAAGTGTGTGTAACTCCAAAATACGAGCCGCAGTAGCCAACGCTACTAGAAAAAAAGTTTTCAACGTTATTTGTTCAAAATTCTTGTTTTGTAGAGGTTCATAGTCACTGGATACCAAGAGAAGGAGGACAACCGACAGGTCCCAGGCAGGACCAAAAAGCAGTCGAATCCTGCTAGTCGCAAGTAACTTCTGAACTACCTTGGGTAGTGGAGCTGGGGGAGGAAACACGTATGCGTTCAGGCCTTCCCACGATATGGCTAACGTGTCGCGGTCCCCGCCTGAGGATCCGGGATTGGGGACACGAACCGCAGGAACTGATGGTTGAAACGAGTGGCGAACAGGTCTTTGTCCGGTCGTGATAACAGGTATATCAGTGATTGGAATATCAGAGGCAGCAGTTTCCATTCTGTGGGTGACGGGCGTTTGGGACGTGACAGAGTGTCGGCGAGCACATTCCTCGCCCCAGGAATGGGTCTAGCTCTGGCAATGATGTTGAGTGAATTGTTTAGATGATAAAACCGAGAGGTCCACTTGAGCAGAGTAGCCGAGCCTTGCAAGCCCAGGTGGTTTATGAACCATACTACCATCGAATTGTCTGACTGAATCAGTAGATGGGACGACTGTAATTCTAAATGCTGAATAGTGAGAATAACAGCACTGAATTCAAATTTGTTGATATGAAGGGCCCTTTCTCTGGACAACTGCCTGGCCACTTAATGATGGAGAAAGTGAACGCCCCTGCCCTCGAGAAATGTGTTGACGAAAGGGCACCAAAGAGACTCAGGCGCAAACATTCAGTTCGTCGAACCACCAATGAAGGATTGGATGCAGTTGCACGGGTAGACGAATAAGTTCCCTGCGGTAGCCGTCCGAATGTACTGGCGCAGGAAGATCTGAAGAGGGCGAAGCTTCAGCTAGCCCCTGTAAGTCAGTTCTTGTACCGACGTCAACCACCCTAGTAACTCCTGCCACTGGCGAAGAGTTCTGGGTTGGGCCAGCACTAGTGGTACTGTGCACTGAATCTTGTCCCACCTGTCCTTGGGCACAAACATCATGGCCTGTCGTGAGGACTGACTGACTGAGTTTATACCGCTTTTAGCAATATTCCAGCAATATGTTAGAAATGCCGTGTTGGAATACTGCCCCGATAAAATGTAACCGTGTTGGTGTTACCTCAGATTTCTTGTAATTCAGCATCCACCCTAATTGCGTGAGCAACCTGATGGTGAACTGCCTGTGGAGATAAAGGACGACTGGATCCTGCTGGCACAGTCGTCCATATAGTTCTCCAGTGTCATGCCTTGACAATGCAGGTAGGTTGTTACCCGAGTAAATAGCCACGGTGCCGTAGATATGCCAAACCAGGATCCTCCATTGGTAATGACACCCCTCGAAAGTGAATCGAAGATACTTCCGATGGTCTGTATGTATCAGGATCTGAAGGTAGTAGGCATCTCGCAGGTCGAGGGAAATGAGAGGCCTACCAACTCTTGCCTCTGACAAAGGCATCAATTAGTCGATCTACCATGACAGTACTAATGGACAAAGGCATAAGGAATGTTCACATTGTAAATGAAGTGATGACAGTAATAATCGGTGATCTGCTGAACATTTTGTTGGCTAGGATGGCTAGATGGGCTAGATTTGATAAAGGTAGTAGATCACATTGGTGAAATGACATAAAGTGACCTGAAATTGACTGACTGATCGGTGATTTTGGTTTGGCTAGATGGCTAGATATTCCAGCAACAGATGGACACCAGAAATGGGCTTAGTAGATTGTACTGCCATGGTGATTCGTCGGACATAACTGCAGTGACCTCTAACCTGAGTGCTTGAGCTAATGTAGAAAACTGAGTAGCTCCAGCCAAAGTCAAAGTATTATCAGGTGTTTCTGTCCGACACCCTAGGTAAGCAGTCTCTCTCGGCTAGCTGACGAAATCCAGACACAATCACTCTTACTGGGAATGGCACTGTTCATCGTTACTAGCAATTGAAGGCTGGGATTGATATCCGACTCATGGGACCAAGACAAGTCTGTCAGGGCACTTTATACTCACTCTAATCATCAAAATTTCCGGCAAACAAACAGTAGTCCGCCATTTGCAAACGTTACCCACAATGCAACAGTGACAAAAATCAGGACAACACAGTCTTTGGTTAACCGGGCGAGTCACAACCCATAAAATCCAGGCTAAGCGATGCTAGCTACTTGACAAGACATCACTGCTGGTACCATGTGCAGAAACTTGACCCATCTGTCCAGAAGCTTGTTGATGATGTAAAAGGAAGGGTGATGAAGATGACGAACCAGGCCATGATTACACCCAGCAATACAGCAAAACACTGTTACGAGTAGTCTGTAGTAACAAGACAGGTGGTTGTAGACCTGATATCTACGCCAAAGGGTAGTTTCGTTGAACCGAATCATTGATCAAAGGTGAAAATCGGATGGTAGATTACATCTGGAATGAGCCGATTCAGTAAATCAGCTCAGTTGGTAGGCAAGGTCCGAGGTATGGATGATTGACGAATGCTGACGGTTCAGTGATCTTGAACGGCTAAGTGAACCGGTTCAACGATACAGAGGTACAGATAGGCTGCGTATCTGCGTAAATTACACAAATATTTATGTGAAAACTCAATTCCTATTAGGTCTATTGTGCACAGGTACGCTTGAATTTTTGTAAATACTCAATAAATTTGATCTCACAAGTGAACACACAAAATGTCAAATCTTAGCTTGCGTACTGCCGGATGGATGAAATACCTGACGTATATTGAAAGGTTCTATATCAACACATGAACTTGGCAACTTGCAGTATTTCTTACATTACAGATCAAAGTATAAATAACAAACATGTAAACCAACATTTAAACTTTATTATATTTTTACAATTAATGGAAAATGGCAAAATACCCATTTGAGTTCGAGTGAGGTAGGTACAATTTATTTGGTTACTCAAAGGAAAATTAGGATACCCAATTGAAATGAACACAAGCAAGGACATAACTCAATGACCCAAAAAGTGATCTGTAGCTCTGACGATATGAAGCGGTTCAGCCTGGGGAATCGGTATGGCATGGTAAAGCAATTCGGGCTGGTAAATCGATTCAGCTTAGTCATCTGGTTCAGAATGGTGAGCCGGAATGTTGATGTGATCTGGATCGGTTTGGTAATCCGAAACATTTAAATGACCTACGCCGATGGTGAGATCTAGAACGATCAGATGAACTGGTTTGGCGAGGTGAAAACATCCGGCTCACGTGAACTGACGAATTGTTTTGGCAGGAGCCATTTCTGCGAGGCGAGGCGAGCCGTTTCGTTGTGGTGAATCCTTTCGACGATAAGAACCAGTCAAAGATGGCGAATTGATTCAATGTTGTGACCCAAGACGCCGTGGCAAAATGGTTCGGCCTGGTAAATCCATTTGATGTGGCAAACCGATTCGGTGTGGTGAATCCATTTGACGATGTAGATCCGCTGTGTGAGTCAGCTGGCGACACACAGCAGTTCAATGAGGCATAACAACGAGTAGACATCTGACGATGCACCCATAAAATCATCACCTTCCGACATGGGAGCCTTCCAACATCGAGCAGTTAATACGGGTAGTTGAATGCCGGGTTTTGTCAGGTAATGGACCATGTTCTGTTGAAGTATAACGAGTTCTATCTGCCAACCGACGGGAGCAAACACGTTCATATGCTCTAAAAGCGTCTTTGATAAGGGAGAACATTCCCGACAGCGCTTGCCCCAGGAAAACAGACCAATGCAATCCACAAATGACGAGTAGGGATCCAAGGAAGAAAATAATACACTGTGTACAAAATTGCGCTACTTTGGGTCAACTACCCATGATTTATTTCTCATGTTAACTTGTAAGGAAAACTGAGAACTTCACAATACGTCAACACAGTCGTGTGACAAGAAGTAGAATGGTCACTCTGAGGTAGTCATGTGTATAGGTAGGGGAGCATGCTGCACACTTAGCGAGGGACTTAGTGTACCTGTCCTATAAGGAGAGCAGCCTGGAGAACATGGGCGTAAGGACAAGAGAGGCCTACAGGGAAAAGTTCACATTCGTTCCACTCACTGTTGAAGCAAGAGAGAGAAGTGCAAATCGTGAGATAGGATAAGTTTAAAAATTTGGTGTTTTGTCTTTCTTTAAATGAAATGAAAATTGAATTCAGTGAAATTGAAAAATATCTGATTCCCAGAAAAATCATTCAACATGCAGTTTTCAGTAACTGGAAATGTCCAATGTCCTTAACTTTTCAAGTAGTGGGGACATTTCACAAAACCAGAGGACACACAATTACTTCTTCTTAAAGACAGTGAGTACCCTTATTCACACAATGAGTCAGTTTCACTTTTGATATTTAATTTATTGAGCAAAAGGGCAGGCAGTGGTCGTGCACTGATATCCTGAAGCGATAAAGCATACATACACACTATATTTATGAACCTTTACCTGGCATGGCCCTTGGTCTTTAAGCAATACCAGTGTATACATGATCTTGAGCTTCACCACAATAATACATGTTCCAAAATGTGTCAGTGTTCACATTCTTCCAGTATCAAGGTGACAAGTAGTCTTCAGCTTCAGCTGATAACACTGTGTGTACACTGGGTCACACAACAAAACAGAACCCACCTCTATATAAACAGGATTACCTGGCATCTTGAAGAAAAGCCTCTCAGCTGCACCACTGTTTGTCTGCAGGTACTTGCTGTCCTCGGACCAGTCCAAGTGGGTGATGAAGCTGGAGTTCCCAGAGCAGGTGCCGACACGCTTGTAACGCTGCTCCACGGAATAGATGTCTACAAAGTTGTCATTGGAGCCCACTGCCAGGAACTTGCCACATGGTGAGTACTTCATCTCATGGATCATTTCCTTTCTGTCTTTGATGTGGGCAATTTCACTCAGGTCTCTGGACAGTGTACAATAATATATCTAGAATGACTGTATTTAAAATAATGTCAGTTTTAGTTATGTTACTTCCCAAAAGTATTTTTATGATTTTTCTAATGACATATGTTACTGAGTTATTTGTGTAAGATGATAGAGTTTATTCTCCTTCAATGTTTCGAACCTTCCGGGATGCACCCTCACAAAAATTACATGCAACACACCATCTTCATCAAATTGGTGATGTTCTTAATTGCTTCCAATATATCAATACAACATGGGCTGCAGTGTGTTAAGATGAAATATCTTGAGTTATAAACAGGGAAGATCAGTGAAGGATTACCTTGATCTCAGCACCATGAAAGAACCATCTGTAAATCCTGCTGCAATGTGCTGACCCTCATTGTCAAAACTACAGGAGCGGATTTTCTGGTCTAATGTTGATTTAGACAACAGCTCAAAGTTGTTCATGTTCCACAAACTGTACAGACAAAATGCATGTGTGCTTTTAAAATATTCTGCCAGACTTTTAGCAGAGGTCACTCATGATCAGTATTTAACTTTAAAGGTTGTGTCTTGACATGAGCACTTGGCATACTATACAGAGACTTGCCACACTTTAATTTCTTTGATATGACATGTTACAACTTAAACAGTAAAAACAAGGACTTTTTCTTCATAATATATTCGAACCAACCTGTAGAGGTTGCTGATTCTTTGAAGAGTGTCCTCCTTGGGGTACTTATAAGCATTTTATGTCCATTAAAAATTCCTACGACAGTTGTAACAATATTTTGAATAAAATATTTACAAAACAAAAAACTTGTTTTTGTCTTGTTCGACCACACCTGCAGGGCTCCACGGGACCTCACAGCCAAGAGAAGGTAACTCTAACCTTCAACCTGCTGATCGTGATCAGACGAATGTGGGGTGGTGGGTGGCCCTACCCCAAGAAGGACTCTTCAAAGAATCAGAAACCTCTGCAGGTTGGTTTGATTCTTTTTCAGAAGAAGTCCTCCTTGGGGTACTGATAAGCATAAGACAGACTCCCGAAGAATAGAGTTGGGAGTGGCATTTTGTCTGGCAAAAGCGAATCCCAATTCAAGTGGAATTCTCCAATCTAAAATTAGATTAAGATCGCATCCAGTCACTTGACCTCCTATGCTGATTAGGCGAGGATACGAATCAGGATCAGGGGTCGAACAATTGCCGAGCTAATAAGTTACTGCAAACTATGGGCTTGAATGCACTCTTTTTTGAAGAGGACTTGGCCGGGGCCTTGATAAAACCCAGAGAAATTAGCCCCGCTAAAAACTTTCTGAGGAAATCGAATGAGTGCAATGCCATTGTATGTGTGAAAGGCAGGATAAAACGCCCCCAACAAACGCTCTCGGTGCGAAGAGGGTAAGTGTAAACCCCCATCACCCAAAACGCTGATTAACACAAGACTCCCAAATACCAAAATCTCGGCAAGAGGGAAATGCTGTTAGCGTACAATAATCCCCAGAATAGTGAATAGCGTAGCCGAACTTGTGTTGTTCACTATTACATATGACATGCCCCTTGAAGAGAAGCACTCCACACAGTGAGTGGGGGTTTTGTACACATTTCTGTCGTAAGACGTGTTAATAGCATATAACTGGTTATTGGTTCAAAACCTGCCCTGTCCTCTCTTGCCTTTAAGTGAGAAGGACGTAAGGGACGTATGTACACCCAAACCCGACCTGACACGAAAGGGTTTATATGATGTAGTGATATGAACCATATACTGGGCATATAGACATTGAACACAGAACCGATGCCAATGACCAGTTACTCACTTGGTCAGGGTGGCAGGACACTCTCCACTGAAGAGAACCGAAAGACCGAACCGAGCATGATCCTTAGAATGCGTGTCAAGTTGGTAATGGCGAATGAAGGTGTTCGTCCGGCTCCAAAGAGCGACAGAACAGATCTCTTTGTTCAGCAGTGCTGCTGTGTATTGTCATCGAAGCAGCATCTGCCCTCACCAAGTGTGCCTTCAACCCCTCGAGGGAAGATAAACCTTAGCATTGTAACCGAACAGATTATGGAAACAAGCCAACAAGATAAAGTCTGCTTGCTCGCCACCAAACAACAGAACAGATGGGTACATGTACAGATCCCTTTCGTTCGTTCACTATAGTTACTCCAACGGGTGAGCACTCGAAGGTTTGGTCCCCGATGTGGAAGGCTGGGTAAGCGTTGGAAGTTCAATATGAGCTGTCATGTGGAAATCAAGATCGATCTGAGAGTGGTAGGTATCCGGGGGGCGAATACTGACATGATCAGGATGAATCACTGTCAGTGCCGGGTCAGTGGATATCGCATGGATGTCCCCAACTCTTCTACCAGGGCTCACCAATACAAGCAAAGCCGTCTTCCCGGTCAACAAGTGAAGTGGGAGAGATGACAGACTTGAAAAGTCAGGGCCAGACAGCCAATTGAGAACAATTGGCAATTTCAAGGTGGGTTAGGTCGCCACCAAGGCGGTCGAACCCTGTTCATGCCAGCTACGAAGCACTGTGCAAGAGGATGCTGCCTAGGCAGAGCACCATCGAATGCAGAGATGCCAACCCTAATTTAGCCCAATTAGTATTTTGGTCAAAAACTGATTCAAAAATTAGTATTTGTTGGCCAAAATTAGTATTAACTTTTCCAAAGAATTTTCATATTAAATAAAAATATTAAACATATAGTCTAAGACCTTGTTATTAACGTTATACTCAACTAAATCAGTAGTACATATCCGCATATAGCTTGATACTGAATATAATGTGATCGAAATTTATTGCTCGTGTAATTTATTCCTCGTGTCTGGAGGTTAGACCCGACAGAGGCCAAGCCACCTAGTGAATCCGAGGATTCGGGTGTGGCGCTCTGTTCAGAGTGAGAATGTCTGGCCGTAAAGGTAATTCGAATCCTGGCATGCGGGTTCGAACACTAACCTCACTATTGTCAATTCCAGCACATTGATGTGCAAGTTGTGACCATGTTGTCCAGAGACCGCAGATCGCCCAGAACATCGCCCCAACCCTGGAGGGATGTATCTGTTGGGACTGAGAGCGACGGCGTCTCCAGGGGGAGCCCCTTGGAGAGACGCCCGACGTCTGTCCACCACTGCAGATGAGGAATCAACCACTCTGACGTCTCGAGAAACTTCTTGCAGCTCTCTGAATGGGACCCCAGGTGTACCAAAGCTTGCTGTATGGGTCTGATCCTCAAACCCGAATCACCCCCCAAGAAAGACCGGATCCTGCTTCGAGACTGACAATTCGAAATTGACAATTCAGCCCAATTTCGTAAGAGTGTCCAACACTGATCGTGAGGTTTCCAGACTCAACTGTTGTTCTAAAACCCTGATGCGCCAGTCGTCTAAGTACGGGTAACAACACCAGCACTGCGATCTGGCTATCTGAGATCAGATTAGATCACTGGGCACAGTGTCTCCATCTTGAAACCATCTCGATGGCTGCCTTGCCCAACAAAGACTAGATCTCAGCATGGAGTATATTTGCCTTCTCCCAGGAAGCCGACACTGGTGTGTGCCACTCTCTGACAGGGTTTTGCGGCAGAATACAGTAAATCCCTACAGTCGGCAACATATCGTTGCTGGTGCCGGGGCACCTGAGGGATTGACAAGAAGCTCGACAGACTTCTGTTTTCCTCGAAACAGCCCCAGGTGCCATAAGCGATAACCGCACTCATCATTTGGCTGGCACAGCTACAAATGCTGTCCCTAGCCAGATGAAAGTAGACCTCCGTCAGGTCCCGCCTAGAGTCACCGATGAGGAATCACCGGCGCTCTTTCCCCTTTCCACCAGCTCCCTCTGCAGAGCAGAGAGATGTGCCGAGTGGAGCATACAGCGACGACAGACTGACAGTAGAATGTGAGGCCGTGTCCCAGATGTCTTGCTGGAAGCAAGGCGTCAATAGACATCAGGCCGAGACCTGAACTACCGGCACCAGGGATCTGCGCCCTACCGGTGCCAAAGTCCGGGTTGGTGCTACTCCTGAGGTTCAAGTCCGAACCCCAATCCTGAGACACGTAGGAGTAGCCTGATAAATCAGGGTTCCCCTGGTACTACCAAAAGCGCACTGAGCATACAGATACATGGCCTATAGCACTATATAAATACCCATATATATATATATATATATAAAATACCCATATATATATATACCTATACTACCCATCAAATGTTTAGACTCACTAGTGTAAATGTAGTCACTTACTTCAGTCAACTGTTCTAAACTAGATTTTGCTAAATATTCGATAATGTTTAAAGGTACTGTTTACATATGAACTGATGTATTGTAAAACAAAGTCGTAATGCTGAAAAAATTATTTTCATGAGTTCAAAAAATCATGAAACACAGTGAAAATTGGCAAATTTTAACAACACTTTACACCAAAACGCAGCTGTTCACCTGCACGATATTTGCACATGCTTTTCAGAAAATTGATGCATGATCCTTGTGCAATTCATCTGCATATTGGTTTGCAGATGGCTCCCCTAAGTTAGTGGAGAAATTCATCTTCGACATAACCGTATATGTACATAAGATATAGTGAGTGCTTTAAGTGATTCTAAACCTGAGGCGTAAAAATCCCAGGCAAAAAACACAACCTTGGTCACCATGACATTTGTTGTGTGTATTCATATGTAATGTGTATATGTATAACACAACACAATGTAACGTAACAGGAAAAAATGAACACAAGGGCACTAAATATAAAATGTAATGCGAAGCAAAACATAAAAGCAACCCTGCAACATTGACTTAACATGTAAACTAACATGTAGAAGAATGTAGTAAGTCGCTCACCGTATCCACCAACTTGTCAAAACATAGCTTGAAGTGGAGAATTTGGCAAAAATAAATAAGGCAATGTGAAAGAACGATGAACGATATTCCCCTAGTAGTATCAAAAAGCGATCGTACAGAAGAAATCACTCGTTGCAAAAAGCACCAGCTTAACGCGATGACGTGTCACAAATAATTATGTATATATGTAATGCGATGTAATTATAAAACACCACCGTTCGAAATACCTGCTTGCCAGACTGCCCGGGACGAGTTATTTTCAGCACGGACTGCCAGATTCTCAAATTCACCTGCCCGATGTCCAGGTTAAAATTTACACATGTATATGAAGATATTTTGTGGGCTGGTAAGTTTTGGTCAGAGCTGGCAAGCTTTGCATCTAACCAGCCCTGTGATCTGGCTGACATTTTGGGGAGTTTCATACCCTGAATATACGCAACAAGAATCCCCAATCTAAAGCTTAGAAGCATTCCAAGCGAAAACACACATAGAAAAGGGTAAGTAGGCCGCCCTGCCAGCCATGGTTTGAAGTGACAAGGTGACATAAAAGTTACAATATTTATGAATGAAAAATTTTCAAAATGCGTTCCCGCAAATATTCCATGCAAATAGTAAAAAGAACCATACATACAGTATTTGTTTCTTTCTCACTCATCTTTATCTTTGTTTACTAGGAATTCAACTTGAAAAAGTTACAGAACAGCATGCATGTCTTCACCATTTAAACGACAGCATGGAAAGTTATGAGTTACAGGTGAAGGTTAGAGTTACCTTCTCTTGGCTGTGGGGTCCCGGGGGGCCCTACAGGGGTGGTCGAACAAGACAAAAACGAGTTTACTATTTTGTAAATATTTTACAACTGTCGTAGGAATTTTTAATGGACATAAAATGCTTATAAGTACCCCAAGGAGGACCTCTTCTGAAAAAGAATGGGATTTATCTAGATATGCTCAGCCTGCAGCAAGGAGATAATGACCAGTATTTATTTTGAATAAAGTAACACACACGCGCACACACACACACACACACACGTCTGCCTCCCAGGGGCAGTTAGTTTTGAATCCTTGGTCAGTACCTGTCTTTATTATCTTCAGTGTTACCATGGGGTTAAAAATCCTTTAGAAACCCATCACAGTGGCAAATCTGAAACTCTTCAAATTGAATATGTGGTTGTCACATTCAGCTTCACACAGACTGTCAGAGTATGGGAAGTGACACTTACCGTAGAGTCTGGTCATCACTCCCTGTGGCAAAGATGGGTTTCCTGGGGTGGACAGCCAAGGCCCATAACTCCCCCTCTGCATGTCCCTGCACAAGGCACTGAGGCTTGTCTCTGTCTTTAACCTGCATCTCAAATACTTCACTGTCCTGAGTCCCCACCAGCGCTCTGTCTCCACGCCAACAGATGCTCCTGATGCAGATACCTACAAAATCACAATATCTTGATAAAGACCAAGCCATTTGCTGTTTCTTTCCAGGAACATTCCCAATATCCCTGGCAGAAAGAAGCAAGTTTACTGAATTAAATTAATGGATAATTACTGATTATCATTATTGTGTTATCATTTGACAAACCAGGTAAAAACAGGAGAATATAGTTTGTATCTCTTAAAAGATACTGCAAGTGCAGAAGATATTGATTAAATCTGTAGGATACTAGGATCATATCAGTCATCATAGCAGGAGGTATTACAAGTATCAAAATAGATAAAAAGTTGGCATATCTACTACCTGCTACTGGTAATCTTTAACCCTACATTACTGCAGTGTCTCTTGAATCATAAAACTAAATCACTGGTTAAATGGTATAGCGATTTCATCAATCAAATAACACGTATAATTCGAAACACGGCAGTTCATCATGACTTAATAAATCTCTGAGATGGTATAAAAGAAGTATGATCATATATTACACCATTCTGGCATTGATACATGGAAAACTATATTCCAATCATAATAATACCTTTATAGCCTTCAGGAGCATTCACAAGGTTGACAGAAGTGATTGGTTTGAAGTCCGGGTCCCAGAATTTGGCCACTCCATCTTTTCCTCCTGATGAATATCCCTCTTCTGACATGTCCAGGGAGTAAACAGGGCCCTAGATGCAGGTCAAGTACATTCAGAATATGTATTACTGGACACAAATCACTTTCATCAATCATGGAGAAATAACACTCATATTAGTGATATAGCTTTAACTGTGCACTTGACAGATAAGGTTGTTTATCAATAATTGTTCATGGTTTTATATATTTACAAAAAAACATTCAAAATTTGTAAGTATTTAAAAAGTAGTATATAAATATTTGTAATTTTCATAGAACACAAACATACATTATGTACACCAGCGATGACTCGATCCAGAGTATTGCCTTTGAAGACATATATGTCTCCACTCAATGTTCCAGCATAGGTCTGATTGTCAGGTCCAAAGGCAAGGCACATCATGGTTTGTATCTCCCCTACTTTACCAAACACGCCCTTCTTGGCAGTGAGAGCATTGCCACACAAGGACCAAAACTTGATGTGCTTCACACCGCATGACACAATGGTGTTGTCTTGGAATGGGTGAAACTGGACATCAAACACCTGCACAAAGAATGAGGTGTGTTGAACAACATTTCAGACATCATTGTCACAGCCAAGACATGTTACAAAAATACATGAATAGGGTAAAAAACAACAACACACACACACACACACACACACACACACACACACACACACACACACACACACACACACACACACACACCTCTTAAAAATGACTTAAGACCACATTGAAGATTTTTTTTTTGCGTTGGCAGAGCCAATGGGGGGTTCAGGGGGTTCAGGGGGTTCGAAACACACACACACACACACACACCCCTCAAAATTCCTGGATCCGCCCATGTTAAGTAAAATTAATGTTAAAATGTCACTCATAAAAACCCAAAGAACTGTTTCAACAAAATAACAAATCTCCTCAGTTAGCCTACCAAGAACACTTGGAATCATAGATAAAACTCAACTGATGCTGACTCAGCAATATTCCAGCTACTGGTATATGATGAAGGCCTGTACAATGACACTGAGTCTCACAACCTGATACATTTGGTTGCCTTGTACGAACAGCATGGCTTGTTTGGGACCTATTCCAACCAAGGGGTCCAATGAATTGTGTTAAGAAACACAGTGAAGAGAGGTTCAGCGTTTTTTTCACATTGTCATGTCATCATGGTCAGGAGCAGTCTCACATAAACCTTGACCTGATCATCATTATCTGATATTAATACAACTTTCATTAAATATAAGTGTGTGGAGAGTCTTTTACTTTGTCTGAGTGACCTCTGACAGTAGATATGATTTTCCCTTTCCTCCAATCCCAGACATTGATGGTGGCATGTTGGTCCATCCCCACTGACACCAGCCTCTGAAACACACCAACAGGACTATCAGTATATAAAATACTGTACAAGAATTTCAAGCAAAACTTTATTTAGGAGACACTGAGAATAAACTTCCTATATACCAATGGGAAAATTCAATAAAGATCACCAGTTTTGCAAACAAACATATGACAGCTAAAAAGGCATCAATTCAGTAACTAAACTTATTGCTCTTCAAATAATTCAAGACATGTTCAGATATCAATTCATCATGTATATCACGTCATGTACTTGAGCCCGGTAAATTGACTTATCACTGAGGGTTTCAAGTAGTTCATGTTATCATGCATTGAAATGTAACCATGGCAACAAAACTGTGAGGTGAGGACATGATACATTGCTGTCACAGCGAAACAAAATATCTGGTTACTGGTTATACTAGCATCCAACATAACTAAACTGAAGTCACTTGAAAGTAAAAACTGCATTTGATAGAAAATATTAAATATGAATAGAATATGAACAAAGATAAAGACTTTATATAAGCTCACACTTCCGTCCTTGTCAAACCCCATTGCAGACACCCCATGTTGATGTCCTTCCTTGAGTATTGATACTGTATCAGTTGAAGCTGTGTCCCAGACACAGATGTAGGGACTCTTGCCTATCTGACCCGTTGCAACCAGAGTGCGATCAGGGTGGAGTGCCAAGCTGGTAAATAATGTCAACATTTAAGGCATTCTGACTAAAATTCTGACTAAAATTAGCATTTAATTTGACTATGAATGACTTGTGCAAAGCACTGGTAATCAAACATGAGAAATATCATGCAATCCAACACCAAATTTAACATAGACAGCTAATAACATATTAGTGAATTGTTGCAGCCACAAAAGTTAAATTAGCAGTTCCAGGGATCAAATAGTAGTACCAGACAAACACTGCATTGCACAGGTAACCCCACTCTACAATCTACATGTTGTAACATGTAAACAAAATCAACTTAGTGTTACAATTTACTTTTCCAAAGAGTATTCCAAAGATGTAGGCAAACTGTTTAAGCAACATGACGAACGTAAACTTGTGAATAAGAAACTATTAAAGGCCTAGCATGAAAACGTGTTGCATAGTAGTTATAAAACTTGCATTTTCTACTGTAGGTAGGCCTAGTAATGATGTCAACACTTCAATATATGTTCTAAAGCCTATCACTAGGGAATTATTGATCTGTTCAGACAATAATAACATGAAATCGGTTTGCAAGTGAACCACCGACGAATGGACAATACTCTTTCAGATGAAGAATATGATTCCTGATAAGAGTGTGTATTTGTTCATACCTGACAATATCATCATCGTGTCCCAGGAAAAACCTCTGTCTGTGTTCTCTTACGTTGTACACGATCCCAACACCGGCAACGAAGTAAACAATGTCCTTGTTTCCAGTGTAAAAGAGGTTATTGCGACACTGGTGGCCTCTGTAGCCATATACCCACTGTAGTCTCAGTTGAGACGTCGGGGCTGTCTTGTCAGCCATGATTCCTGATGAAAATTATTGACAGATCGTACGCTTTTGGACGTGTTTCAACGAGCCATTTCTACCGCCACAAGAAAATTTCTTGAGTACGCATGCGTGTTGTGTATTTTTAGCAGACGGTTACTTCCGGGAACCTGTTCAGTTGTAAACTATTTACCTAACACTCGCCTTTCTTTTACATCTCTTGGGTCAGTAGTCTAGTGACAATGTGTTAAACTATAAACAGTCTCCGAATTGCACAAACCTACACCGAAATATGAAACTCTAACCATAATCGGTTGCCTGAAATCTTGATGATAAAAGTCCATTATGAAATATTTATCTTGTAATATTCGACAATTTTAACTGAGGGATAGTATAATTTATGGCTAGAGGGGGTGCTGATGGTTTTTATGGAGAATTGCTGAACCCACCTAGTACGAGTGTACAAAATTGCTGACCCCCTAGCTCTCCAGAACAAAAAGGGTGATAAGACTACACACCCCCGCCCCCACCCCTAGTCATAAATTATTAACGGTCCCTTACCCTTACTTCTTTTACATCATTTCCAGCTGTTCATTCACTAACGGACAGTCAGGCAACGTTTAGTATAATCTATGTTCCAAGTATGTGTCCTCAAATACGTAGGAAACGCAACTGGTGTAAACAAATATTTCATTTTAACCTAAATTTCCATATTTGTTTTGAGGACAGAAGTCATACCATTAGCAATGAGAAGTGAGAATCCATTCTGCTGAAGCAGACCGAACAAGGCTTTATCACCTCGTTGGAGAAAAGAGTTGATATAACACTAGATCACGCACACGTACATAGACACATAAATACACAAGTAAATACAATATAAACATATGTATATCTTCATTAAGACTTTATATGTGTTGTCAGACAAATGCAACATGTGCGTTACACAGCAGTGATTAAAACAGAAGAAAAGGGGTGGATATGTAACATTGCTGCAGATATATCTTGAAATGAATTAAAGATATCTCAAACAGAGATGGTGTACTGAGAAATTACTGATATCTTAAATTGTTTTCAAAGTTATCTAGAATTGAATTGAGGACATCTTGAAATGGAATTAAAGATATCTCAAATAGAGATAATTTTGCCGTTCTTTACTGGTACTTGTGTCATAGATAGCAATCATTGTTTTAAAGATATCTTTAAAATCGTTAGATATCTGTAACGACCAGGATTGAAGATAACTATGATTGAATTAAAGATATCTGTAACCGAGTTAAATATATCTGTAATGCGTTTGTGAAAATGTATAATTGTTTTCAAGATATATCGAATTGAATTGAAGATATCTTAAATTAATTTCTGATATAATTATGTACATTATGATAGTAATTGTTTTATTATATCTTAAAGACATTTAGAGATATCACGAAATATTTTATTGATATTTCAGAACCATTTTAAGACTAAGTAATTCTATTTCGGATATCATCATAAATAAATTAAAGATATCTCCAATCATTTACCGGTATCTTAAAAACATTATTGATGTCTTTGCATAGAATACAGATATCTTTTAAGCAATAAGAGAGATCTTTAATGTCTTAATAAATGTGAAAACGGCTTGCCATGAGAGCGTTCACACACCACGTGAAGTGACATGATTGAAATAGTACCGCAACAGCCCGAAGTCCAAACTCACAAAGAGAGTTTAAGTTGGAACAAGTGTCTGTCGCTATAACGGTCCGATGGATGGATAGATTGAACACCCACCCGTATGAACCTGTCCTGATCTGAGACCGCCTCCGTGGTGTAGTGGTTAGAGCGTCCGCCCGGAGAGCGGAAGGTCGCGGGTTCGATCCCCGACCGCGTCATACCAAAAGACGTTAAAATAGGGTACTTGTTGGTCCCGGTCTGGCGCTCGGCATTAATGGGTACAACAAGGACTGGTCGGCTCGGAGTCAGTACAATGTGTCTGAGTGGGGTATTCATGCTTCACTGCGGCATGGTATCTCAGTGGGTTAGCACTATAAAACCAGCTTAAGTCTGGGCTAGTACAAGCAGCCGCACATACACATACACACGCATGCACGTCGTCATATGAGCGAAATATTCTCAAGCACGACGTTAAACCCATCTTAACCTCACCTCACCTGTCCTGATCTGCAGTTGTGATCACCTCACCCTTTTCATACCCAACATCCCACACTCTATGTGTGTGGTTGGTGATGATGATGATTTTAAGGGTGTGTGTGTGTGTGTGTGTGTCACCCATTTTGTTCTGGGGAGATGGGGGTATCAGTTTTGTACACATGTACTGGGGGTGTTTCAGCAATTTTGTACATACATTTATTAAAACATTATGCTTAGAAATTATTGGAAGGGGAAGGGGGGGGGGATCATTGATTTTGTACATGGTATGCAAGGGGGGTCACTTACTTTGTACTTAAACTTTAGGGGGGTCATTCACATTGTACATGTTTCTGCATAAAAATCATCATCACACACACACCCCACCCCCACCTCCTTGCCATAAATTATGAACGGTCCGTGAGAATTTCGAAAAATCCGTTATAAATATCAATAAATCACCAGAGGATGCGTTTGTTATCCAATCAGAAAACACTGTAAAGTACCAGTTGTGAACTCTATTCGACATTTTAGACGAAAGATGCAGAATTATCATAAAGACGTTTCTGGTTTGGGAAGAACATACATGATTGGGCTAAAATAATCTGTAAAATTTGCTTTTTAAACCATGCTAAGAGTCACCGAAGTCATTACTCATCATGTTTGTCTTTAATGCGTGTGTGATAAATACCTTGCAGTTTGCTGGAAAGGAACAATGTCGTGAAAAACAGTTCGATCACATCCGTTCATCTGAGAGCCACACGAGGACATTAACGTGTAATGGTAGTCGGCAGGAAAGTATAACGATGCGAATACGGACATGTAAACAGCAGGCACGCTAAGTCTCAGGCTTTCTATTCCTATTTACCGAACGGTGTCACTGAATAGAAATGGCAGATTTTGCAGCCCTTATTACAGAGGCCAAAGTGGAAGATTTGCACAGAGTTTATAGAAATGCCAAGAACGCTTTCCTTTGCTTTACGAGACTCGCTGACCTGAGTTGGGTTGTGTCGGTAACCGATGGTGTAGATGTGTGGAGACTGGAGCTCGACTATGACGAGTTAGATTCACACAGAGATCTAAGCGGTGTTAACAGTATGAGTGCCTTCCTCACTAAATTTAGGTAAAGAATAGTGAAAAATGTGATATTCCAAGTCGGAGTACGACTGTGCGGGTACTATGGGGCCGGTTGTAACTGTTCAGTGTCAAAATGGCCAATATGAACGGCCCAGTACAATATTTCAAAAGGACAACGATAGATAATGAAAGGAATTAAAGTTTTAGTATTTCTCCCATTATTTTAAGAGTTCTGGTTCACATTTATGAAATATCATGAATTATTTACGATGTACTTTCTAAGAATTTAGTTTTCAAAATATTGATCTAAAGTCTTTTTTCATAGATCATCATCCTATCCATAGATAATTAACTTCCCTGCATTCAACAGTACATCTATTCAGAAATATCCAGCATCCAGCTTAACTGCCACTCTGATAAAGTTTCATGGTGAGTTTATTCATCAATGATGCATGTATTTTCAGGGATGGGTTTGCATCGGGTAATCTGTCTGTTTCAAGAAGTGGCACTAAGGTGACACTGACAGTTGGAACTGGAGCTTCAGCCTTCACCTTTGACCTCTATGAAGCCAAGGCAGCAGATAAAAAGACTGAACTCCAGACAGTTTTGTTCCGTTTGGCTGACCAAGCAACTGACCTTAATACTAAACTAAATGCTGCAAATGTTCAAATTACAAATCTTAAAGCACAGAAGAAAGCAGGTGGTGATAGGAGTGCTCTGTTTGATCTTGGACCCAAGAAAGGAGCAAATCCAGCAAAGGCAAAGCCGAAGAAAACAGGCATGAGTGTGTTAAACCCATCCAGTCGGAAACGAAGAGCTGCAAAAGGAGTTGAATTTGATTAAGAGCTTTAAGAAGTATCTATAGTTTGCAATTTTAAAGTCATGGATGTGCTCTAAATGTCATAATGGGTTTAAGAATGAAAGGCTGGGACAGGTTCTCGAGTTGAGTGAGTACTTTCAGTGATTCAATTTTATGTTGCAAATCCCATCATATTACTTAACATGTCAGGGGAAATAATCCTTCATCAACTTTTTCTGCAATCCTTGACTGACAAGCAACTCTCCTGGACAGAGGAAAACCTGGTTGTGTGATGTATATTAGGATGTATATCCTAAGATAGCCTTGCATACTGTTTGACAAATCATTCTTGTACATGCAGAAGTATAACAAATGTTACCAGAAGAATTGGTTCTTCCTTAAGGAATAATATTGTCTATCATTCATAATTTCCTACAGCAGCAGCATTTGCATTCATTTCTATTAAATCACATACTAATCATTACTGAGAATCAGAATGATAGAGACACTTGATTGTATTGCATACCACTATTAAAAGATTTATATTTCATTCTGTGAGTGTTTCATGAAGTTTGGTTCCCAGTAATAACTTTGCAGCAGCAATCAAGGGCATACCAGAACTTTGCTTGACTTGTGTATCTATATTTTAAGAGGTACACTCTATAATGAAAATCCATTATCATTGATGGACTCCCAATTTTGGAAATGGACTCTAAAAAAATATGCCCCACATCCCCTGGACTCCCAGTTTCGAAGAGCTGTGTAAAACCCTGAAAAAGTTTCGCCTGTTTGGTCATACTATATGGGCATAGAGTCAATCATCAATACTAAATGTTAAATAAATATACTGGCAGCAAGCATTTTCAGAATCATCCTAATACCAGAGTTGACACAGAGCCGATAGATTGTACATAATGACAACATTAGCAAGCATTGTAAAGGATTTACTGAATCTGTACTTTATTATGTGTGTGATAAGGACAAATAAAAAAATGTTGTGGTTCCGATTACTCTTCTTTAAAATTTAGGGTAGGTAGGTAGGAATTTCTTTTGACATAATGTTTTTAGAAGTAAAGTACAAACTAATAACACATTTATCAATGATTTAATCAAGCTTGCGGCCATCATGTCGACTTTCTCTATCAGAATGACCGATGTCTGTCTGTGCCGGGCAAAAAACAATGGTATCTGAAAGCTTATTTTATTCATACTGCTTGAAAAAAATAGGGTCGGCACCAGAATTCAAGGGTCGGTCGGGTAATCGGAACCACAACATTTTTTTTTTTTAGGCCTAAGGCCCTGGTCAAATGTACATTGAGCCTCTAGCTACCAAAAACCTTGTCTATTGACCACGTAATTACTAATACTAACTAGTAGGACTGAGCACAGAGCAGACATTTACCTCATTCATCAGCTTCTTTATTCAGCATGAATGGAGGCCATCAGCCCATACAGATTTAGTTACAATGTGGCTAACTATCAGTCTTTGAATTACTCATTAACACTATTATTTCTTAATGGCAATGTACAACAATACAAACATTGCCAAATATATATACTGTTCAATCTTATCACGAAATGCTAGTAAATTACACTTCTGAGAAGTGGAATGCTCGGTTTTCTTCTGAGGAGTTTATGCAGATCTGCCCAAGCTTCATAAACCAGCAAAAAGTGCTCATTTAAATGATAAACACCATATACTTCTCACTTACTTAAATCAACTTTTCTAAATTAAATTTTGCAAAATATGCTATGCTGTTCAAAGTTATTGTTTACACATGAACTGATGTATTGTAAAACACATTCGTAATGTTGACAAGATTATTGTCATGAGTTCAGTAAATGATGAAAATCAGTGAAAATTGGCAAATTCTTAACAAAACTTTACACCACAACGCAGCTGTTCACATGCACGATATTTACACATGCTTTTCAGCAACATGATGCATGATCCTAGTGCAATTCAGCTGCATAAAGTTTGCAGTTGGTTCCCCCAAGTTAGTGGAAATCAATCTTCGATGTAACCATATATATACTGGCCACATAAAGAAACTGTGCACACAGAAAATATAAAGATGGGCAGACAGCGTCTTTATACATAAATAAAGGTGTGAACATAGCAAGTATTGGAGACAATCAAACGCTCATGCAGGTGCCAGGCGACGTGACGTCATTGATGGTGGCCTATAGACTTACAATGTGTTACTGCACGTGCAGACTGTGCAGCTGCACACATGTGAAACTCAGAAATTGCTGTCACTGTCGAAAGCTTGATCTTTGGTGATTCAAACGTTCACAAATTCACATGAGAAGTCACATGCACATCATTCCAAGATTAACATCTGCTCAACGTCATGAAACCATTGGAATGGTTCGAGCAGGCATGAGCAAGCATGAGCCAAAAACAGGTGGCAGCACATTTCCAATGCCATCGTAACACGATATTTGCATTGGTCAGGCGTTATGGAAACAGTAACGACGTCGCCGACCACCCACGTTCTGGGCGTCTCCGAGTAACGAGGCCAAGACAGGACAGATGGATTCGGGTGACTCATCTCAGACACAGGTTCCAGACGGCAGTGACCACGTCCCAAACCATTCCCCAGGCCTTCAATGCTCATTTAGTAGCCTATATGCTGTCGACGATGCATTGCTGTGCTTCACGCGCATGATCAAAGTGTTCTGCCAGTCACTGTGATTCCATCGCACACCAGTACTCAGCCACCCCCAAAACAATCGTTCTGTCTGAAAACCATGAAACACCATGACAACGCTCATCTCTCCTACCCTACACTCTGTTGCGCCAGTCAACGATGTCCATAACATACTGGTAATGTTTGCCCAACGACGATTGGTCCAGCGCTGGCGCTCTTGACACTAACGGCATTTTGAAGCAACATGACTGTCCGTCAATCGCGGGATAACACGCAGACGTAAGGCATCCATGTACATTCTGCGTAGCTGATTACGAATCGTCTATCCACTCACTCTAACATCTGTTTTCTTACGGAAGCGCTGAAGGGACCTGGTGAAATAAAATTTATCTTGAGGGCACGAGTTGGTATGTTGAGCGCACAAGTTAGTATGTTGAGCGGATAAGTTAGTATGTTGAGCGGATAAGTTAGTATGTTGAGCGGATAAGTTAGTATGTTGAGCGGATAAGTTAGTATGTTGAGCGCACAAGTTAGTATGTTGAGCGCACAAGTTAGTATATTGAGCGGATAAGTTAGTATGTTGAGTGCACAAGTTAGTATGTTGAGCGCACAAGTTAGTATATTGAGCGGATAAGTTAGTATGTTGAGCGGATAAGTTAGTATGTTGAGCGCACAAGTTAGTATAATGACATTAATAGAACGCGCGTTTGCTAAAACTTTGCACAAACTTATATCCTTTTTGGAAGATTTCAAAAGATGCAAAGTCGGACTTAAGTAGGTCCTTATGACGAGACTATGTAATGAGAACACTGATAATGTTTATGTAAACGTTCATCGTCTTTATGCTTGTAAATACTATTCTTTGTAACTGATTTTACCACTTTTTGCTTTATTACAGAAAGCAGGCACAAGTTTGCGTAATGTCAATAAGAATTAAAACATAAACATGAGTAGGAGTTTATTGCAGGGATGAATAGTGGTTTACCGACTTCTAGTATTGGTACAAAGTATCATGAACACTAGCGTAAAGCTTGGATAACTTGTTTTGTGCTACGGCTTTATTATGTATATATAGCATTACATTACCATGAAAAATGTAAACATTGAGTGTTATACTTAATTATAAAACTGATGTCTTATGTACTGGAAGTAAAGTCGACCTCTTTCAGGGAACTATATAGTCTGTAGTCTTAATTGCATGTATCAGTTACTGTTTCCTAAAGTGGGTACGATGGCGGTTTAACTCTGAACAACATCATATAAAACCCGTCTGCTTTATTTGAACCATTAGTATATGTGCACATATAGTGAGTAGTGAGTATGTTTATTCGTATTAAAGGTCATACGACCCATTGTACATATTCATTAAACATTCAAAGCAATTTAACAGTAAGTTAGAGTTTACAGTTCTCCTCGTTGTCTAAAACACATGGAAAATATATTTAGCTAAATTATTAATGGTTTCGGAGTTTCGAGAATTGAAGAGTGCATAAACAGATATGTAATGTCCATCCTTTTTTTAGGAATTGGTTCTTTTCTTATGTCCGTAAATATGGTGCATTCGTACAGTATATGACTCATCTTCGAGGGATAAACAGGTCGTACACAATATATCGATGACATTTAAGGTGCTCTGTCCTCTTCTTAGTTTCATCACTCCAATGTTCACATTGCCACTTCGAAATTTAGTTAAGATCCGTCTTTGAATAGGCGATGTTACAACAGATAAATAATGTTCCCACTCTAATAGAGATTCAAAATGAGAATCGCTGTCAAGACGTTCATGCCACATTTGAGCTGAGGTATCTAATAAACGTTTGAAAATGTTCATAAATAGTTCCTCATTGGTGGTGGTGGGTTGCACCCCAATCCTCGGAACCCTGGGCATAAAACATGTAGTACATTTGGATCACTCTTGGGGAGGGTGCGCACCCCCGCACCCCCCCTCTGGATCCGCGCATGCATCACGTTGATTGAAACCCCATATTGCCGCTCAATATGTAAGAATAGGCACAATATGTCAAATATATTGATATACGGATATACTCAGGCGTTTGATGACAGCTTTAACTGGGAATAACGCTTTGCTGGCTTGGCTCGATAATGTTCTACATGCTTTTGTCCTGATAAGCTTTGGCGTATAAGTCCAAGGTACTTATACATATTTACAGCTTTTAAAGTTTTCCCTTCAACGTTTATTAGTGAAATTCCACGAATATTAGTTGGATCGTTGGTACTTCCTTTCTTATGGATTGGCATAATCATTCCTTTTGTCCATGAGTGCGGAAATTCTCCAGTTTGAAGAATTTGGTTGAATAAGGTCGTCATATATGGGGTTAACATATGTAAAGCTTTTTATAAAACTCAGAAGGTAATCCGTCACATCCAGAGGATTTTCATGATTTGAGAAATAATATTACATTCATAACATCTTGTTCTATTATATCACATGATAAAATATCCTCCATTTTACACTCATGATATGTTGCAGGATTGTGGTTACTGAGAAACTGTGACACCTCGGTCACGTGACTGTTGGAGTTTGTATCTGTCTGGATTGGATCTGATACTGGATTAAGTAGCTCTTTGAAGTAATAGAACCAGCTGTCTGCTGATATGGCATTTTCTGTTGATCTTGTTAATGTATGTTTCTTATTTAGTCTCCAAAATGTTTTGCAATTCTATTCCTTTGCTGCAGAGTTTATCACCATTGTTATCTTGTCATTGTGGTCTGATTGTTTTCTCTTGCATGAGAGTTTGAACCATTTCTTAGCCTCTTCATACAGTTGATAATGTTCGGCATTAGACGTACCCCTAAACTGATTAAGAAATTTATATTTCTGACGCTTTGCTGATTCACATTCATCGTCGAACCATCCTGGTAGCTTCTTCTTGTTTGCAGATAGAAGTGTAGGCAATTTCATATGATTATCATATTTTTTAGAACAGTTTGCAGTATTTCTGTACCCCTTTGTATGTCGTCATATATACAGATTTTGAATTCGTCCAGGAGTTCCAGCACAGTATTTGATTTGAAGTTGTTAAGAAATTCTACACTTTTGTCTTCATTCCATTTGAATTGTGTTCGTATCGTACATTTTACATGTTGCATTGGCTTGTCACTAGATTGTACGTTTGGAAATATATTGCTTATAACAGCCTATAATGGCATATGGTCAGTAGTATCTCGAGGAGGCTCATCTCCCATTTGAGAATCACACTGACCACGGTTTCGTAACACAGTTGAAACTGTCTCGTAGTTGTTGCCCTTGGTCAACCAACTCGACGCCTGTCGTCATCGTTATTCGTCTGTCGATATCGTGATTGTAATCTACAAATTAATTAATGTGTAACGCCCTGTCTATTTCCAACCACCAACACACCAAACGCACGCATCCATTCCTCACGTTCCTAGCGTACAGCTAGATACTGGGGTGGATGTGATACTTCCTCAACCGTCTGCGTAAAGTCATTAACTGCACGGTCTCATCCCATGATGACTCCGAGCTGTTAACGTGGCAGTTTGAGATCGTGTCCGTAGATGCATAGCCCGAATACGGTTGTCCTGTTGATTTGACGTCACACGCCGAGGAGCTGTTCGTGATTAGGTTTGCCTTGCTGTAGTCTCCAGTTTCAATGTCTACAACTTCGTTTTTGCAAAATACCCACGGCGCATATATGTTGATTTTCAGGAAGTTGTGGCATTGCGGAAGCATTGTTTACGGTTAAAGAAAAGTGTTTTTACGAGCACCTGATAACTTGACTTTCATTATGTGATTTTCTCATTCACAAACACGTGTGCGAGTATCACGTTCCCAACAAACACGATGGTGTACATTTATTTTCAGTACAATATGAGATGTTGTATAATTTACACCACTTAGAGCTCTGTGTAATCAGGGACACCAACTGCTGAATTGAAATAACCCCATGCAAATTGTAGATTTTAGATTTGTGTTCCTTGTCATGTTCAATATAGGAGGTTGTATAATTCAGACCTTAGCTCTCTGAATGACACCAACCGCTAAACTGAACTACACCATGACATTTGAATACACAATGTTATTGGACATATGATGTTCCATATGATGTGTAATGAGTTACATGCATCACACAGAGACCGGTAGATGGACGGAGCTAACAGTATACCTGACAGACATGATTGCATGTAACAAATCAATATATTACGTCTTTAATATATGTGAGCTGGGCTGACCAGTATTTCAATGGAGTCACGGCAGGTCAGATGAATTAGAAACATCAGACACCTGCGCAAAGAATATATGTGAATGGAACGTTTTAGTTGTATCACGGCAGACAACCCTATGTTGTGCAGATCCTGGATGTGAAGTGATGATAACCAAGAACCATAACTGGATCGGGATTTGCAATTTGAACGCACGGTCATCATATCCTGACATGATTAAATGGTGAAACTCCTTATCAAACTGAGGCGCCTGAGATCAGTGCACCGTCCATACTTTGTAAATAAAAATGGTATTTAACCATTGCCTAGATACGTGTATGCATACATTACAACAGAAACTACAAGACCAAGACCATAATAATGTACATGTAGCGATATGGATGCAAGAAATCTGGGGCGAGGCACCAATCCTTATTGTGGCGCGATTGTCCCACAGAATCTGGTGTGGTCTGAAAAATTAGAATCCACAGAAACCTAAGACTGCTTACACTAGCTTCACGTATCGTTGATGAGGATCGGTTGCTTCTGTTTGTGATACATTCACAATACCAGATTAAAGAATAAAGTGTGAGAACAATGACAAACAGCGGCATTATTTATAACCAATGTATATTCGGTAACATTGCGTATTTGGTAACATTAAATTTAAACAATTACACTACTACAGTCAAATCCTATTTGAAATAAGTTTACAATACTTCATATAACATGATAAAGATCTACTGTTTTCAATAGCACCACCCATTATTATTCAAATACAAGTTCATCTGACATTCATAAAAATAATGCAGCAAAGATAATTAAGGTACAGCAGATACCTTTTATGCTGACAAACTATAGACATTACAAATAAAACTATGTAGAGTTAAGAACACGTTTGATACAACCTTGTTTTGTGCAAATATAAAAATTATTTCCAAGAACTTCGATGCCGAACACGGCCACGAGGAACACTTTCAGAAGACATTGCTGATGATAAAGGGACACCGCTCTGTGGCTGTCGTCGGCTTGACGTGTCCCTGCGAATGGTACGGGGGCAGATGTTCCCCATTGACGCCCGACGAGCCAAAGACGGTGTCGTCTGCTGTGGCGAGCCTACAATCTTGTTGTTCTCACTGACGGGGGGTAGCACTGTGGTAAGGACACCACGAAGCTTCCTTGTGTGTTGACGTCGTCTCCCAGCCCCTCTGCGGCCCCCAACACAACAAGACGGCAATCTAGGGACAAATGTCCCTCCCATTTCCTCATCCACTCGAGGTTTCTCCATATGGATTTGCATGTCCGTCATATTCATGAGTTTCCTCAAAGCTTTGTTATCGCAATGAACTTGCGAGAGAGATTTCCTAAGTTTCTTGTTTTCGTCTTCAATGCCCTTCATTTGAGCCTCGGTGTTTTTAATCTCGTCTGGGTAGTTATCCATCCCATGCAGCTTGGCCTGGAGGTCCTCCAACTCCGCCTGGTCCATCATCCAACTCACTTTATAGTTATTGCATTCAAGTCGGTAGTGATTCAGCTCCTTCCGGAGCTTTGCGTTCCTCTTCTGCTCTAGGCGGAGTTGTCTCCCCATTTCCTGAATCTCCTTTCTGTGCTCCTTGCTGAGGTTGAAGATATGGTCAATGACGCTGAAATATTGAACAAGAGGCCAAGAGATTAAGTAGCATATCATGGAAGCGCTGAAAGGACCTGATGAAAGAAAATTTATCTTTAGCGCACGAGTTAGTATGTTGAGTCAGGGATAATCTACAACGTTATATAGTCTCCCTGGTTGAGTGCACAAGTAAATATACTGAGCGCACAAGTTAGTTTTCTTGAGCGCACAAGTTAGTATGTTGAGCACACAAGTTAACATCTTGAGCGCACAAGTTAATATCTTGAGCGCACAAGTTAGTATGTTGAGCACACAAGTTAACATCTTGAGCACACAAGTTAACATCTTGAGCGCACAAGTTAATATCTTGAGCGCACAAGTTAGTATCTTGAGAGCTCAACTTCGTGTTAGCATCTAATGGCATTAATGGAACGCACGTTTGCTTGACTGTTGTAATGTACAAACTTATATCCTTTTGGAAAGATTTCAAAAGATGCAAAGGGTTAACTATAGGTGTTTATGATGAGACTATGTAAAAGTATCCAAATGTATCATGAACATTGATAATGTTTATGTAAACGTTCATCGTCTTTATGCTTGACAATACTATTCTTGCTAACTGATTTTACTACTTTTTGCTTTATTACATAAATCAGGCCCAGGTATGTGTAATGTCATAATAAAAATTAAAACATAAACATGAGTAGGAGTTTATTGCAAGAATGAATAGTGGTTTTACTGGCTTTTAATATTGGTACAAAGTATTATAAACACTAGCGTAAAGCTTGGATATCTTGTTTTGTGCTACGGCTTTATTATGTATATATAGTATTACATTACCATGAAAAATGTAAACATTGAGTGTTATACTTAATTATAAAACTCATGTCTGATGTATTGAGTTTAACTCTGTACAATATCATTTAAAATCCACCGTATTTATTTGATCCTTTAGTATGTGCACGTATAGCACATATACCGACTTTATTTCTTACTAAAATACCATGTTCCCCGTTTTACTTTCTCCGTTTCAATCCCTTATGTATACGTACAAGTGTATGTGTGTTGTAGTTTATTTAACATGTTTTAACAACACATGAAGTTGACGAATAAACACGTCGATAAAGACAGTGTCTTGAGCGAAATTCAACGCCATCGGGGTCGAACACTATTAGCAACGAACGTACACTATCCTGTTTCACGATTAAACCGCATTGGATACATTTTTATGCATCCAACGATAACCATGTCTTTGTCCAGATCGTCGAAGTTGTCCGCAATAAAATCTTTAACATCAGCGGGGCGGTGGGGTAGCCTAGTGGTTAAAGCGTCCGCTCGTCACGCCGAAGACCTGGGTTCGATTCCCCACATGGGTACAATGCGTGAAGCCCATTTCTGGTGTCCCCCGCTGTGATATTGCTGGAATATTGCTAAAAGCGGCGTAAACCGTACTCACGCACTAACTCACTGTAGCATCAGCAAATCTGGTATCTGGTGCGAAAGAGAGACATACACCTCAGAATACGCTTCAAGTGGCGTACTATACTATGCCATGATGTTTGACAAGAAGATGTATTATATCTTTGTTTTGGAATCAAAGACTGAAATAAGCATGAATCAGATCGCGTTTCCGCTCCTCCGTTGCTTCCACATGAACTGCTAATGGAGTAGTGTATCTCAAGATGCTAAGTTGAGCGCTCAACATACTAAAGTGTGCGCTCAATATATTAACTTGTGCACTTACGATAACTAACTTGTGGGCTCAAGATACTAACTTATGCGCTCAAGATACTAACTTGTGCGCTCAATATATTAACTTGTGCACTCAACATACTAACTTGTGCGCTCAAGATGAATTTTATTTCATCAGGTCCCTTCAGCGTTTCCGTAGCATATACTTGGTTTAATTAAAATATTTTAAGTACACTAAAGAGAGTAATTTCTTTAATAACAAATGATCTGATTACATACAATGTCATAACTGGTGGTATGACCAAAGGGGAAAGAAAGGCACAGGTCTAGCATCTCTCACCGAATATATCCTAAAGTTGACTTGTTTACTGACGTTCCTCAATTCTCTTCATATCAGTAGATATGCATGGAGGACAGAAAAATTGTATGTGAAAGCTCGAGTTCTGCTCGAAATGAACATTTTGGCTTAATTTACAAGTTAATTCATATTAAGGTTACAGACTTCTGCACTCACCTTTCTTCTTCTTTATCCATTTGACATGTTGGACCTTCCCGACACTCTTGAAAACAAATAACAATGTCCTGGTTTTGTTATCACTTTCATTACCAATTAGATAGTAAATGTCAAAACATCACGTGTGTCCAAAACAAATCCGAAGCTATAATTGGTATGCAGTGTAATTTTCCATTTTGATTCGAGTGAATTTATCGAAACTCGGAATATTGTGTAGACCATGTCTTACCACTCGGAAAACTGATGTGGCGTTGGGTGATTGAGTCAGCTGTAACATCAGTAACTGCATAACTGCTGGCATCAGCTGTGCCTTTGTTAGGATCTGAAGAATATTATAATTTCAAAACTGCAAATTACTAAAAACGAAAGTTACATAAACATTAAGACCATACCTTTCAAAGAGGGCAAAACATGACTAAAGTCGGAATTCAATGCGCTGCCACTAACGAAATATGCCGATGCAGTTTTAACAAGCTCATTTTACAGTCATAAAGGAAGATCGTTTTGGTTTGTATGAAACTGGGCTAGGGCCGTGAGTATGTGTTGGAGGTAATATTACAATGTTTGACTAATGCGATATAGATGTAGTGAAGCATAATACCAAACGTGTTACTGTCTAGTGCAACTACATAAACAATAGTTTTGATATCCGTATAGAAAGAACTCAATGTGTCTGCCCTAAGGATTACGTCAGCTTACCTCTGCCTGGAGTATAAGACATTGATCTCTCTATGATCTCCGGGATTGCGGACAGAACCCGTGTATCAGCTTCCGAGCCCTCCCTGTAAAGGTATATATGTTTAGCCGTCATTATAATGAAGCTCGATAATTTAATACACGCATCAGACAGTTGTGCGCTCCCCATATTCCTTTAAATTCTACTTCATTGAAAATAATGATGATAACAGCAAAATGATAACTCAGAGGTCCAGCCTTGGCATGACCCAGACCCATTCGCAGTCTACGTGTAAATGGGGTAAGGGCCCTGAGCTGATGATCATTCTTGCCAGCCGGACTCTGCTAATATCAACCGAATCCTCTTGCTGCATTCACTTAATTATTATCTGTAAATAGTAATGAGTATGACACATACCGCTCTATAGCGACGAGCTTCATCTGTGCAGACCCAATGCGTACGCCTGCAAGATCCCTTCAGGGATGTGATTGTTTTGACGTCACATCCACGTGACCAATTGTGTCAAGGTAACAGTGGCTAGTTGAACTTCCCGGGCGTAAAACTTGCTTTCCTGATAAACGCTTGCGCAACCGCCGAATTGAAAGAATAAAGTGCATGACTTGAATAATAGATTGTTCAACTTCACATGAACATTAATGTAATGTTTTCGGACGCTTAGGGCATCCGTTGTTTTCTCGATTCAAGTATGGACAGTCACTCATAAAAGACCACTTTATCTTAAATACAGGCCTTCATTGGAGTATTTACAATCCATATGTGAAGCAAACCGCTTCGTTATAGCGGTTTTAGCTCAAGCACATGCAAACGTTCGGCATACACAGCTCGCATGCGGCATTTCAAGCAATTCCCGTATTACTGGAACCTTGCACTACAATCATGATAATCGTATTTTGTGTGGATACTTGCCAGCTAGAAGGATGGTTGGTTGGTTGGTTGGTGGGATGATACTAACAACGTACCGCTTTTATTTCAAAGCAATATACTTCTTTAAACTTAATTGTACAGCTTATATCACGTTCACATTAAAGATTTGAAGCCCAGATTCATGGTTGTGATTCGTTCAATTTGTAGGACATTTAGGGGAGACCGGGGTCAATTGTAACACTTTTTACTTAACTTGTTGTAATTCGATACTAGTCGACCCCTGACAAAGTCAATCGGTACTAACTAGTACATTAGCATCTTGGCTTTAAACCTCAGTGTCATTTAAAGTTCACTTTCATGTCGTTACAAAGTTATTACGTATCAAATTACTGCAAGTGTTACAATTGACCCCTAGCACGGGGCAATTGTAACAGGTGCATGGGGCAATTGTAACAAAGAAGGTTCAAGTGTAACAGTCTGTTTATTTTCGAAATAAAATCAAAATAAAATGTGGAAAGCTGTTATCTTGATCAATTGAGGTGGAAATGGATTAATATTAAACATTTGTCACCATGGACATTTAAATTGTTTTTGGTTTAAAATTCTTGTTTTCGTATGCCCAAAATATAACACAAAGACGAACACCAAAAACTTTCACCCGAGGGCTAATATTATCAACATAACACCGAAAATGTACTACTACGATAAAACTAGTAAAGAACTAACATAAAACCTTCATCATCATTTGCTTCATCATCATGACACGAGGGGAAATTACATGGGGGCAATTGTAACACAGTGTTACAATTTCCCCCGATGGCAGTAGCCATGTTTCATGCAACGTCACATGTTAAAACCACTTTGGGCTTCTCAAATATTTCTACTTCAAATATGTCGTAAGATACCTCAATTTTACTCTTGAAAAGTTAATTTTTATACCAAGAAAAATTTACTGCATTAAGAACGTTTTATTACGTTTTGTGAAAAATTCACTTACCTATGTGAAAAACGATTTTTCGTCAACTGTATCTCGCCATGAGCGAGCAGCTGAAAACGCCTGGATGTGTACGGAAGGAAAGGGAAAGGGAAATAACACTACTAACCTTACTATGCTTGAGCGAAAACTTTTAGAGTAATCGCCCTTGTTACAATTGCCCCCGGTCTTCCCTACCATTCCACGTTCACGTGGTTCTTAAGAATGTCTTGTCTTTTCTCATGCAATACGAGTGAAAAGAAACTTTCGAAGCAATACTGTTGCTGAAAAAAAGATAACGCATGCCTCTAAGAAAAGGTCGGATATGAGGTCCCTTTATGTTTATAAGGACATTAAATTAGATCTACATTATGTCCAAGGGTAGGTTGTAACATTCGCTATGACCCGACTTTTCTGCTGCCGAAGGTATTAATAATTAATAAATTGGATGAATAATGATAATAATAATAATGAATGAATAATTCATTCATTCGTTCATTCAAAAAACTAACAAAATGATACTCATGATCGCGTTTGTTCTTTTTGGAAAATGTCTCTCAGACATCTCCATGTGACTCAAACATCCCCATGTCACTCAAAGATCTCCGTGTCCTCGAGCACTGTTTCACAAAACTTCGCCTTTATCATTCATGAGATGGATGGTCAAAGTGCGATAACATAAATTGATAGAGGCAGGCAATGCATTATCGACAGATTATCTCCCTTGACGTCGTCTCAGTCTTTCCGGTGGAAGTCATGCTGTTGCAAATATAGTCTAATTTCGTTTCATCAGATCTAGTCTTTCTAATAATCGGTGACCCTTTATAAAGAACCAAAGATGTCATTAGATTTGCCAGTCACTGACATTATTTTACTGCGTGGTGATACAGGTAATGAACAGTTCTGCCCTTGAAACGGAGTGTCCTTTTCTGAGTTTCAGACTAAATTACAGATTAAAACTTTACCTGATTACGATTTCCTGTGGCGTACTTTTGGTTCAGTTTCGTCACCATCACGTTTCTGAGTCCGATTTAGGTCAGTTTGATGAACATTCAAATCCCAAAATGCTTATTAGAAATACGGAGACGGGGAAAGTCTCTGAGATATACAGTTAAACCCAATGTATATTATTTCCACACACTGAAAACCAATATTTTCTGTTGAACATAAAGAATTTTCAGGATTTGATCTTTTATTCTTATTTTATTCTAAAGTGCCGATCAAGCATCCAATATTTTCTGTGTTATTTAATTTTAGCCACATTTTAGCCATCATCAGCATAGAATAAAATATTGCACCAGCTACCTGTGCATCATTTGATACATAATAGTGTGGTATTTAATGTGATGAATGGAGAAACCGTGAAATAATAACACAGATCATGAAGAATTATGCTACCATTATCAGGTGCTGAGTGTGGTAATTATATATGTTCCTTTCAGAAGATAGTTTGCATGCCAGTTTTAATAACTCATGATATGAAACAAAGCCGAAATATGATTTTAAATATGGCCTCATACTTTGTGTATGTTGTTCAGTGGCAAAACACTAATTTCATCACACTGTTAGCATGGTAAGTCTATCGTGTATTAGAAGTGAACCACTTATCATATTGAATCTGTCAGATGGTGCGTAAGAAATAATACCATGGGTTCCTCGAGAATTTGTTAGAAAAGTAGAAATGAAACAGTTGTGTTAAAATATTAACTTTGTGCTATATTACATTGTTGCAGTTTTTTCTTTTTGCATTCTTTGTTTAACTGCTAAATTGCTAACTTGGTATATGTGTTTGTTGGGACATGCTCAACGTTACATATACATCAATATACTGGCTAGAATGCAGTTTACTGGGTGCAGCACTTTTCAGTACAGTCCCAGAAACAATGGCATGAAAAAAGAAATAGGAAAAGTGTGGCATAGTAAGGTGCATGCGTGAGAAATGAAAACAAACCATTGCTGTGTTGATGACCCGCTAAATGAGCACTCATTAACTGAGATGGTGAGGTAGAGTGTCCGCTAATTATGTCACTAAATAATGAAGTCAGTAATCCGATGAAGCACGTTTGAGCCCCAGCATCGCTAATTAATCTGAAGAAGTGTGCCCTGTAAAGTGCAGTACTCCCAATATATTGAAGTGACTAGCATGGAAATCATTACCTCTTCAGATTTTACATCTACTCTTCAGATGGTACCCAAAGACAACTTCAATTTTAGTGATCAGTTTACAAGTAAATTCATCTGTATACCAGTTATATGATTATTTGTTCAAAGTTTTATAATTGTTTTGAAGTCAGTCAGCTTACAAGCTTTGTGCAGAGAGTGGTTCCTTGAAATTCACCACACCACATCATGTGACCTTGAGCATGGTTAGTAATTTGAAAAGTTGAAAGTTGAAATATCTGCTGTTTACATATGTATACCCAGGGTTTGATTTAAGAGATGTTAACCTACTTGCATGAGGTGCAACCTAAGATAAAGACCTAGTTGCACCAGCCAAATTCCAGTTGCAATGTTGTGTGTTAAAATGTCAGAGGTTACGGTGCACATAAACATATTTCCGTGATGTAGTACCCATGAAACCATAGCAACACAGAGTCACAGCTGATCCCTGTTTACAAGAGCTGTCATAGCCGAGACGTGTCTATGAATAGCAATGTTTTGGTGCCATAGCTATTCCAAGTTGAGAACAAAAATGAGCTGACATATTCATGCTTATTATGTTAGATTTATTGTTGATTTATTTCTAAAAAATTGACTCCCACCTTGTGCAAGTTAGACTCATAACTAGGTTGCACTTTGTAATATTGGGTTGCACCAGTGCAAGTAACAAAGCACTAAATCGAGCCTTGATATTTTAGAGTTGCATTTGGATGTATTTGTGTTAAAATTGCTATATCTTCAGGTCTGGGTTTCAACATTCGTGGTGGAGTAGACATCCCCCATCTACCTGGGGATCCTGGAATCTTTGTCACCAAACTCAAGGAAAATGGAGCAGCTTATCAAGATGGAAGGTTGAAGGAGGGTGATAAAATATTAGAGGTAATGTTTTCCAAAGTCTGCTGTTTTCAGTATTTACAACAACTTTGTATACACTAACCAGCCAGAAAATTAAGGGAAAATATTTTCAAAAGAAAGAAGGTTTCTTTGAATATAGATGTTTTGTTCAATCAAGAGCTTTGTTTGATTAAATGTTTTGATCACAATTATCAGTGTCAGGAAGTGGGAATATAAATATGTTGATTTATGCTGTTGCTTCATAATAAACAGCTTTTGCCTCAGTCTTATGAGATTTATTACATGTATTCTATGACTTTCATTCTTACTTTTGAGCATGAACTATAAGACACTGCAGTGGAGGAGTTCAGACTTTCAAGAGATTAGGCCCCTGAAATATGCATGTTTCGTCTTTGAGCCCCTCCTAGTATCGTGCATGTAGAATTGTTGTTGTCAACATTTTAACTTTCCTAAAGTAGTTATTATCAGTATGTTAGTAAAAGTTTGCTTTATGATGAATATAGTAAGTGGTTTATGTAATGCAAGTAACAACTTGTAACAAGTTTGACCTTGATATTGTTCTTGATGGTGTGTTCATCTGGACCATATCTCTAAAGCTGATAGGTATTCTTTGGCAATTTCATGGATGTTGCCATGTCCATATCAAATCAAGAATACGTATACAATGACAAACTTATAAAATGTAAATACCCTTAAATCTGTTGCAATATTCCTGAAACTTGAAACTTGTTTTTCGTTTAAGGGTTAGGGTTAGATCTATATATATATATACTCTCAAAATAATTGTACTCTAGGCCATGTGACCATACTACTGAATAAACGATTGACTTATTGATAGGTATTCTTTCCTGAAACTATGAACTTTTACACTATTCATTGTGGTGTGAACAAGCACACCACAATGAATAGTGTAAAAGTTCAAAAATCTCCTAAACTATTCATTCGTGAAACTTAAAAACACAGAGGTGATGTTGTCAAGTGGTTTCTTTTGCTATTTGGAGATTTAAACAATTTTTGTTTTGTTTTTATTGTAACAAGATGGATGTGATGTGTTTCAAGAGAATGTATCCCAGCACGCGCACAATGACTAAATTGTAAACTGGAGCTTATTAGTCTTGACAGTTTCACTTATTGAGTGACATTTATTTACTTAGCCTTTGCAAAAATGGACCTGACGTACAGATGCCAAGTTAAGAATCCCCTTTCCATGATGTTGTTGTGATAGGTCACTAATTACTCTTGTATGTGACTAGACTACATATGAATACTCTCATCCGGTTGGACAGATCACTCTTTTAGGATTTGCTAACAATCAGATTTGTTCTTTTTAATTTATGGATGCTGGATGAAAGGGTGATTTGACTTCTTCAGATGACTACTTGTGCTCAGTTCCATTTGGTGGTGTGTTCTCACCTGGTTAATGTTATCACATTGACTTGTCTAAACATTTTATTGACTTGAATTCAGATTGATTTTGTGAGCAAAGTTCTCTTCATGTTTTGCATGAAATGAAACATTTTCAATTCACTGATGGCATTGAAGTAACTATATTAAGAGAAGAGGCTATATACATATATCAAATCATAAGTACATATTTTCTGTTCTTACAGATCAATGGAAATCGAGTTGAGCGAGTTAGTCATCAAGAAGCTGTTCAGACATTTCTTAATGCAGGCAATGAGGTTCGACTGAAGGTGCAGTGTGGAGCAGAGAAGCACATTCTGGTGAGTAGAGAGAGTATTGCAACATACAATGTAGACTGATCAGGGTCCCCTAATACCTGACATTCCACCTCGCCTTTACTATCTCTCATACATCAGCTGTTTGGAATGAATCAAGGGGTAGTTGGATGGTCTACTGCTTAAAACATGTGCTCATCAAACATAGTCTTGGTTTGATTCCAGTCAAGAGCCCTATGTGCACAGCCCATTCTTGATGTTCCCTGATGTTTTGTTCCTGTAATAATGCTTAACAAATGGTAAAGAAACCAACTTATCAGCTGAATATATATGCAGCATTGATTGTCTTTGGTTAACAAATTTATCTGAAATTAGTTGTCTTTGTAATCATGTTTTTCATATTTTAATATGGTTGTTAGCATGGTTACTAATAACCTTACTTTTTTCTATTTTCAGCAAAAGATAGAGGAAAGGAAAAAGCAACAAGCAAATTCAAGTTCTATTTCACCTTCAAGTAGAAAATCTAAGTTTAGTGTTTTTTATTTTCTACTTGGGGTTGGTTCAGCCATTGGAATAGCATATTTTGCTTATAGAAAACTGAAGGGCATAAGAGGCACATCGTGAAAAGGTATCTGTGTTATAATTTGATCAGGCCGAGAGTAAAGTCTATGTCCGTTGTGTACATTTTCTTTGTCATTTGTCATAAGAAAAGGAACATAGAACCTCAATATAGTTGATCCATTAAATTTGTTTTAAAGATGTTCAAGTGATTAAGAACATTGATGTATTAATTCTCGGTTGTTTTATATTTACTGACAATGAAATAACGTATTAGATGTATCAAATCTTAACTGGGTGAATGGTGTATGTGTAGTGTTTGATTATTTAGCTACTGCTGTTGGCTGCACTCTGACTCAGTTAATTTTTCAGCATGTCCTGAGTTAAGATGACTACCTGTTTTGGGGGTGAAATTTACTGGGAGAGTTTGTAGCAAATTATTACACATGCATTTTACCAGACAACTATTCACACTGGTTGTTTTATCCTAATCTCTAGTGAAAACATTATTATTAGGAAACAATAGGCCATTAAATCTAAAAAAACAATATCAGAATCATGACTCCACTTGCATTTGTATGTTTGTCTGTGTTTTAGCCTCGAAATTCAATTTCAAAGTTATCCTTAGACATCAAAAGCTGGAAATGAACATAACTAAGTAGTCACACATATTATTTTATAAAAACACTGTTAATTAAAAACAGCATGTACTAATGAAAGTATTTGATTTAAACCCAAACCCCTGTTATCTTAGTAATGGCAGGAAGAAGCTTGTGCACATCCATAATCAAATGGTGGAAGGTGTCTGGTATACTGCATGCTTGCCAGCAACTGTTAACATGAGGGCACCTCTAAGTTTCGAAATTCAACTGGCCCATATACCTTTCACATTGGTGGAAGAAGTACATCAGTACTGCCAAATAGGTCTGTGACCATGGAAACATTTTACTTTAACAATATTTAATAATGTGTATCTGATTTGTAGTAGGTTCTTGTGTTATGATACACAATATGACAATTTCCATGTTAAAGATTCATGTATATTTTCTGTTAGTCAGTTGCTCCAGACAAAAAGATATGCCATAATTTGTTTAGTATAATTGTCCACTGAATTCAAAATGGCTTGAAACTTCTTTTACTTACCAACCAGAAAGTTCTTAAAATTCTTGAAAGGCATTTAGAAGTTGGACGAATATGAATACATTACACGTTTTTATGGATAACAACTTCTCTATATTTTTTTATGACATTTCAGAGCTTATTCTTGCTCCTTCATCAGATGAAAGAGGAATTAGTTCTGAAACATTGTATGAAGTATATAATGAAATTGTTATCCAAAACGTGTCGTGTATTCAGAATGTTTTTGTAGTAATTGATGAGTCATCTTTCACAACATGATCTTCTCAGAGAAGGGATTATTGCATGGAGGTAAGTGTTTTGCTGACTGAGCAAACTCAAAATATGTGAAGCCTGATAACAGTTTGTTAAATCAGTAAACACCCCCACCCCCCCCCCCTCACACACACAGAGACAGAGAGAAGACAATTCTTTATTAAACGGCTTGACGTTCCTGTAAATACTCAATATGTTGATTGAAGAATACCGGTACCTCTAGACATATATGATAAGCGTACCAATGGTTTAAGACCCTAGATATGATTTATTTGTGCATTTTGCAAAACATTTGAAATTAAACAAAAACAAGGAATCGGTCAACATTATCTGTTTACAGTTAACAGCTGTCTCTTGGGACAATTTATTAACGTTTTTCAACCAAGATTTATTCAGTGAATTAAGTAGAAGTAGCAGAGTTCATATTTCCCAAGCACTTATCAGCGTATTTATGGAGCTCTGTTTATTGGATGTTTTGGAGAAAATGTGAAGTAGTGTCATTTTGGAAACTATTTTGAGAAGATAACATAGTGAACACAATGCCAACAATTACTATTGTGACATCATTAAACAAGGGGAATAATTTCACTGATGCATGATCTCACAAATTGTGCCAGTGCTTCACACTTCCTTGAATTTTGTTTCATTGTCCAAATGGACCAAACACTCGCTGTATATGTCTCTGTGAATGTGATTAGTAATACTGTTGTATATCTATTCTCTCAAAAACTTGCTTTATATTTTTTTATTTAAAAACCGAGCTGTTTGGCGTGTCGTTTGATTAGAGCATTGGCTGACAACAATAGTGTAATACTGCTGAGTATACCTCCATCAGCCCATCCAAGCACACCCAACATTATAGGGCTGCTTTCAGTTGTTCAATGTTAAATGGTAGTGAATTCAGCTTAAAGGGTGGCCATTTGCTGTGTGGCATGTACAACAAGATATATCACCAAGGTTCTATAGCTTTTCTGTTTTGTGAGTTTGATGGTTTATGTTAAGATCAAAACTGATATCCATAAACATCTTCTTAAATCTTTAATAGAATTGATAAAATCTCTTTCCATGGTTTCTCCTGATCAACTGAAATTTTAAAGACATTTGTAAAGTTTGTATTTTGCTCCACATTTTGTAATGTTGAGATTCAATAACAAAATATTAAAAAGAAAATGTTCACAGAAGTTTAGAAGATATATATCCCACTGTTGATATTGATGTGCATTTTGACAGTTTGTTATATGTTTAGAGAGGCAAGTTGAATTACCATGATTACATTTTGTTGTTGAGATCAGGCTAAAAATAAATGTTCTTTTGCAAAGACAGTTTTGACATGGGAAGTTAAGGCATAACAACAAATTTATCATGTTTATGTTATAGCTTTTTGAATTGTAGACTTCAAGTTTTGATTGCCTATGTTTCCATGTATTGGACTTAATCATATGCAGATTGGACTGTATAATTCAAGGAGTTTTATGTTAGAGTTGTGGGATAATTGCAACATGTCTTGTCAACCGATGGTTTCCTTGAAACTGACCACATTACATACAGAAAAGCTTTGTTAGTTTGGATAGTGTAATTCCAAGTGAGATGATGAAATGTACATATTTATAGATACCACTCAAAAGGAGTTGAAGACGACCTGATACTTCTGAATTACTACAGTTATGGCCTATGTATTTTGGAAGTCAATATTGAGCATGTCAGTATTGATGAATTGGTCATCTTCATTAATCACTGTGCAGAAATCAATTAACCTTTGCAAGTAATATCTCAGAATCGCAAGTTTGTGGGTTTTTTATCATACACTTGTATGAATTACATTTTTACTTAGATCTTTTAAAATAATTCATGATGCACTATCAGAATTGTATCTGAGGCATAATAGATGTCTATATTGTACTTAAACAGAAAATGTAGAACATATTGAATTTCAGTTTTTGTTTCCTTTTTTAAAAAGAATGTGAAATACATTTTTCTTGGGAAGTTACTGGGAGTTTGCTAAACAAAAAAAGCCATTTTGACATTGATATGGGTATACACAGCAACAGTAATTAACAATTTGTGTGTTTTTGTGTGTATTTGTATCTATTTGCAATTTGCTAACCTGTTTTAGAGAAAGCTTATGTGCACTGCTTGTTTGATATTTCTTTTGCTGTTTTGTTATACAAGGATGTGAAAGGATGTTAAGAACAAGTCTGAGATCTTGAATGATGATCAGCAGTGGGTAAAACATTGTAGTTGTTCAGGACTAGGTTTGAAGACATCTCTTTCCTCAACATTAATACTTGTTACAGGGTACCAGATAACATTCACCCAGTATTGATGTTCAGCTCCTTGCTGACCAAATTGTAATAGGTCTTTTAAGTTTCTGTAATGCTCAACTTGTCTGTATTTTAAGAAATGTGCATTGTTCATAAAATTTCAGTTATTGTTGAAAATTATTCAGTTTCATGAAATGACTTACACTTAGAGCTTCATTTCATTTTATGGCATATATTACATATATGACTGACGTGAAAGAAATGAGCAAAGTGGAAACGTAATGGGGAAGTACAAGTAGTTTCATTTCCACTTCAAATATATTACTAACAATTCCAGTTCAGGCGTTGAGTATCTGGGCCAGATTTAGAACTATCAGCATAAGCCTGTATGTTTGCTGTACCAACTTCCATTCGTCAAATAATTGTTCCCAAAGTATTATGAATTCATTTTACGTCGGAGATTTCATTTACTTAAGTATGGGTGGCACACACCAATTTTGATTCTGGACATTTTTGGAACCCATGTCCATGTTTTTTGACCAAAGTGGTTAAAATATACAATCTGTCTCCCAGAATTTCAAACCCAAATAGGGATTTCTGCCTTTTTGTGACTGATGTACTGTTAAAAGTGTTTTCACAACGCTGTCCTGTACATATCTGCACTTGGCTCCCTGTGATTCTGTCTATGTTGATGTTCTGGCACAAGCAAGGTTGGGTGTTGAATGATAGGACATAATGGTTGCGGATTTGAGAATGACAGTACCTCTCAAATTCAAGTACACTGTTCCAACGTTTTTAACTTTGGTTTTTCATTTTAAATTTCAAATATTTATTGTGCATTAAACAACAAACCAATTAGTTAGTATATACTTGAACATTTTCCTTTCACTCACCCTACTACAGTAGCTGATAGACAACCAACTGTTCAGGAGACCATCATGGAACTTAATGTATATAGATGTAGCCTGACCAAATGTTGTCCAAATTTTTGTGTGGACAATCACATCTTTGATAGTACACCATGCAGACAGCAGTGATTGAAGGCTCAGATCTCGCTTTGTGCCTATAATTTCATGTATGTAGACCAGCTGTGTAAATGACCTATTAGCATCATTATTATTCAAGAACCAGAATCAGCTGAACTTTGACTGGCTCTACTAAACTCCAGAGAACCAACAGTGACAGAGTATTGATGTCACTTCAGTTGTCTTATGGCAGACACAATCTCACATCATATTAGTTTGTAACTTTGTTTTATTGTACATTATTCGATGAATGAATGAGCCAAGGATATTTCTCAATAAATTATTCATCATGTCTATTTGGAGTTTGTTATGCTTCTCATTAGATGAGAATGATGTCAGATGTTGCTTCCTTTGGTTGGTCCATCATTGTGACTACTTCATGGGTTTGTATATACAACATTCCTTTATCACAAGCGAATATCAAAGGCCAAGTAGTAGTTGCTACTTTTGACAGTGGTCATTTGCTCAACAGATAATTCAATATCAGGCAATAGTAGGTTTCACATAAAGTTCATGAACATAGTAATGGTGGTCATACATGGCTCTTCACTTCTACACTGGATAGTAGCTGTGTTCACAGATGAAAAGAGATATAACCTTTGTACAGAACTGGTGAAATATTGACAATGTTGGTCAAATGCTTAAATAGCCCAAATGCTATAATTATGGACCCTATTTAATATATATTCACCACCACAATGTGCTCTTGGTGCACAAAATATGCACCAAAAATATACTGAACCACAAAACAAATGTCGCACAGATACTCTGTGAAATGCCTGATCGAGTCCAGCAGCAGTTGTTGGCCTTGGGTGGAGGTCATTCAGTCTTCTTTGAATCTCATCCCAAAGGTGTTCTATTGGACTCAAATCAAGACGGAGTACAGGCTAGTGTAGGGTTTGGATGCCATGCAGTCTCAGGAAGGCCAATGTTACTCTGGCAGTGTGGGCACGAACGTTATCTTGCTGGAAGATGTGATTTCTGTAACGTCCAAAATGTGGTACAACGTGGGTCTTGACTTGGTCAATTTAGCGAGCAGCTGTCACGTCATTTCCTCATCCTGGACCGAGATTCTGGAACACCACGGTGCCAACTATCTGGTTCAGACCGATTACATCCCACACCGTGATGCTTGGACCACCCCACGACTCTTTCAACAATACACTCATTGGAAAACAGTTCCCCACGCCTTCACCATACTCTGATTCTGTCATCGACTGTCGAAACACAATATCGGCTTTCATGAGAAAAAAGCAGTTCTCCATTGTCAATAATGCCAATTTCGATGCTGAGTTGCCCACTGCAGTAGGTTTTAGTGGTGATGAGCGGTGAGGACAGGACTACAATATGGTCTGTGACAGCAGAGATTTCTTCCACGCAAACATTGACGCACTGTATCGGCACTGATGGGTCTGTTGGGAGTCCCAATGGTCTGGAGTGCTCTTTCCGTTGCTCTTGGGAAGCGACCCTGCAGATGGTGGCTCACAATCTGTCGGTCTTGACGTTGTGATGTTACTGAAGGTCGCCCACTGCGTGGACAGTCTTGGGTGCTGTTAGTGGCCTGATACCACTCCTGCAGCCGGTAAATGACTGGCTACCCTCCATGCAGTCTGGTCAACATGCAATCGTCCCAAGACTTAGTTCCTCTGATCTCTCGTAATTCGGGCCATGGGGATTGCGTCAAAACAAAAATAATTTCAAGCAAGTTTGAGACTCGCATTCATTGGTAGGGTTGTCATGGTATGCACGTGTATTTTCTTTTTCACGAATGTCATACGGAACCTTTTACCACGTCTGCCTTTTTAGGTGCGTTTGGTCAATATGCATTTGGATATCAATTTGGATTGAAAAACATGTTAACAAAACGATACAATCATAATAAAAGCACCATTTTGTAACAACAAAATCTTGCATTTGGTTTTGAAAAGCGACGTTTCTTTTGTGGTTCAGTATATATCAATTGGACACTTTTGGCTGCTCCATGGAACCCATATAAAATACTGTTGTCCCACAACATGCCTTGTCTGTGATTGGAATCAGGTCACTACTATTGTAAAAGTATAAAGATCATAAACTATACAAGATGTGAATGTGTTTATTATTTCACAACCTCAAAATATATGTAGTTACTAAGAATACATATAATGCATTTATTTCACATTGCTGTTGGTCTGAAAGTTTGGATGATATTGTACACATGGTTAGTGGAAATCCTGTCTCTAGTATATGAGCTGAAACATGATCATCCTGACTTCCTGACACAGTACAATGTTGTGAAGATTTGGAGCTAGGAGCAATGGTAATTTCTTTGTGGTGAAGTAGATCGGCTTAGCCCTAGAAGAAGAAGTAATACCCTAACCCATCATCATCTGACCATTCATCTTCTACCCTGCAATAGGAAAATATTCAGTTAACTTCAGTATGAAAAAAACAAAAGTCAAGGTAGCCAAATAATACAAAATATTTCTAATTGCTTCAGTGTTTTAACACAGGATTGAACATATTTCAATTATATCATATCATTTTACTTGATAAAAGTTTGGTTTAATGCCAGAATTTTAGTTATATGACATGATTGATGTTCGATTATTAACAAGAGTCATCAGAAGATGAAATGTCCCCCCAGCCCCCACATATTTAAACGAACAAATCATCTGACATCTGAAGTCCAAATCGTTTCCATGGAAATCATGAGAAATATAAATGCCAAAAATCTGTAAATAGCAAAAGGCACCATTTCAAAATTTGCCTAATATATATGCCAAGTTCTGTTGAAAGATACTGAACGCTTTTCGAGTTGTGCACCGGAAATGAAGCCCACCCCTCCCTTTTGGGTGAGGTGAGGTGAAATTGGGTTAAACGTCGTGCTGGAGAATATTTCGCTCATATGACGACGTTCCCTTTTGGGACTAAGTCCTAATCGTTTCCATGGAAAAATAAATATTTCAAAAATCTGCCAAATAGCAAAAGGCACCAATTTGGCATCTGCCTCACATATCTGCCAAGTTTTGCTGAAAGATTTTAAGAAGTTGTCCAGTTGTGCTCTGGAAACGAAGCCCACCCCTCCCTTTTGGGACTAAGTTCGAATCGTTTCCATGGAAACAGGGAAAAATAAAAATGACAAAAATCTGTAAATAGCAAAAGGCACCACCTTAGGTTCTGTTTGATATATCTACCAAATTTTGTTGAAAAGTATTGAACGGTTTTTGAGTTATGCTCTGGAAACAAAATGATTACGGTCGGACGGACAGACGGACGAGGCGTCGACTATATCCCCCCACATTACATGCCGGGGGGATAAACAGTGAGTGAGTTGGGTTGAACTCTTATCAGTATTACAATTATATTATGGAGTGCCAGCTGGATGTTAGAGTGAGTCATTGCGTGAGGGTGTGGGGGTGGGGCAGAGCAGTGTGTAGGTTTGTTATTAAGGTTGGGTAGTAGGATTGTTTACATGGGTTTGGTACTATGGTTTGGTCAGATAACGGAGGGCTGGATGTCATGGTTGGGTAACAGTTTAGGTTATGGCACTCTGGGTGTCTTGGTTGGGTAACACAGGTTAGGTAATGACAGTCTTGGTGTCTTGGATGAATACCACAGGTTAGGTAATGGCAGTCTTGGTGTCTTGGATGAGTACCACAGGTTAGGTAATGGCAGTCTGGATGTCATGGTTGGGTAACACAGTTAAGGTAATGGCAGTCTGGGGTTTTGGGTGGGTAACACAGGTTAGGTATTGGCAGTCGGGGTGTCTTGGATGGGTAACACAGGTCAGGTTATGGAGGGCTGGGTGTCTTGGATGGGTAACACAGGTCAGGTTATGGAGGGCTGGGTGTCTTGGATGGGTAGCACAAGTTAGGTTATAGAGGGCTGGGTGTCTTGGTTGGGTAACACTGGTAAGGTTATAGAGGGCTGGGTGTCTTGGATGGGTAACACAGGTTAGGTTATAGAGGGCTGGGTGTCTTGGATTGGTAAAACAGGTTAGGTTATGGAGGACTGGGTGTCTTGGATGGGTAACACAGGTTAGGTTATAGGGGGCTGGATGTCTTGGATGGGTAACACAGGTTAGGTAATGGAGGGCTGGGTGTCTTGGATTGGTAACACAGGTTAGGTTATGGAGGGCTGGGTGTCTTGGATGGGTAACACAGGTTAGGTTATAGGGGTCTGGGTGTCTTGGATGGGTAACACAGATTAGGTAATGGCAGTCTGGATGTCTTGGTTGGGTAACACAGTTTAGGTTATAGAGGGCTGGGTGTCTTGGATGGGTAACACAGTTTAGGTTATGGCAGTCTGGGTGTCATGAGTGGTAACGGATTAGGCAATGGGCACCTTTTGAAGCCTTTATTTATATGTAGTTGACAGATCACTTACACCTGTACACCATCATCATCATAATCATCTCCTCATCATCATCACCACCTGCTGCACCATCCTCATTCTTATTTCCATAACCTGATGTCAGTTTATCTGAAATAAATAATAATTATATGAATGCAATAACATAAAGAATAAATATGTTAACAACTACAGAAAGTATCCAGACCTCAAATCCCATAAATACAATATGGCCTTTTGGTTATGAAAATACACTGTCATCACTTCCATGATCAAAATATATAGAGGATATTATATGAGTGCCCATGTCATACTATGTTTACGACACGAGTGCCTTAATGTTGGAATTTCTCGAGCGAGAGCGAGGGATATACCGATATTTAGGCATGGGTGTCGTAAACATACTTTGATATGAGCACGAATATAATATTCTGTTTATTACCGAAGTCATCAAATTGGGGAAAATAACCAAATCTACTTTCAAACATAGGCTGGCTACCGCATGTCACCGCATGTAGAACGCATCGTCACAGAAGCGTGACGTCATAGCACTGTTCATGACGTTACGTCACCATGACAAAGTGATATTTTGCCCTTGGGCATCGTAATATGAAAAATATGAACCCCCGATATTTTCGCTCTCGTAGGTTAATAAATGCCAGTACTTACATTCTTGAACATGTTTCCTGGGGTCATACTTGAGAGACCTAATCTCTGCATCAGGATGATCCTTCAGATATTGTGCCTTGGCCTCCTCAGCTGCCTTCTCCATCTCTTCCAAGTGAATCTTTTGGGCATCCTCAGTGTTGCTGCATCTGTGGACAGAAAATATTTACTGCAAATTTGTTTACTGTATATTCTGCAGTATTATTCAAATACTCTTCAATTCTTCTCTGCAACAGAAAAAAATTCCATTAACAAGCTTTGTTCTTCAATCCATGGATAGACACTGACCACTAGTCAGTAAACTGTTGACATGCACTCTTATTGGACAAAACTATGCACAGCAAATAGTGGCTCTTCATATACAACTGTGCCATACATGCGCTGATTTGGAAATGATCTGTGGAACAATGTTTCCAAGGCTTAACAAAAATGCCAAGGCAAAAAGTGAGCAGGGCTAAATAATATCCCTGATCTCGACTGGAGAACAGCTGAAGAACAATATTGATATTGGAGATGGAGTGATGCCTTAACATTTGCGCTGGTTTCTATTCAAAAGGACAATAATTTCACACAGTAATGGCACGATTTAAATACACTCTGGTGCATCACTGGCAAGCATTACTGGATTCGTTACACTTGACACTGATTAATATTTTTACCTCAGATGATTGTCGTTTTAAAGAATGTTCATGCATTTATATATGTCTTCTGTACTTTTGTGACCTAAAAGTATTATGTCACAAACAGCACTGACATTATTTGAATGGTCTGACATCTCCTAAATTGGAAATTATAAAGTGATGAAAATAACATAGGACTGGAAATTTTAACTATAAATTGTATATTTATATACTTATCCTATCTCACGATTTGTTCTTCTTTCTCTTGCTTCTACGCTGAGTGGAACGAAAATGAACTTTTTCTGGAGGCTTCTCTTGTCTATAACGCCTGTGTTCCCCAGCCTGCTCTCCTTATAGGCAGGTCCTTAGTCCCTTGCTAAGCGTGCAGCACGCTCCCCTATCTACCCACGTGACTACCTCAGAGTGATATTCTCTTCTTGGAGCCAATGAGAGTTAACTGTAACTGTCATAATCTGAGTAGAGGGGAGGCTGGGTGGGCATCCTTCGCATGAAATAGGATAAGTATATAAAATGTAATTTTCTGAATAAAATTGATATTTTATACTTATCCTAACTCATGCTCTTTTGCTTGTCTTCTTCTTCTTGCGAACACAGTGGAACACTTGTATCTCCCAATTGAAGCTCCCCTTCAATGTAAAATCACTAATTAGTAATCACCAAGAGTTGTCTCCTTCCCAGCCATTTGCGCGGGAACGAGGGTGCCACCTTCCGCCACATGCCTCACTCTCTCCTTATATAGCGAGCCCAACACTTGAATTTTCAGGGAAATCCAAAGTGTTATGTGGGGAGGATGGGAGGGCTTACTTCATGAGTCAGGATAAGTATAAAATATCAATTTTATGCAGAAAATTACATATTTTTCCTTATCCTGACTCATGCTCTTTTGCTTGTAGAATCCTACGGATACGGAGGTGGGAATACAGAATACTTTGGATTTAGATAATTAGTGATTTGATAACTGTAATAACTGTAATAACCCTTATGGGAACTTCATAAAGGCACTGAATTAATAATTCCTGCTGTTAAGCTTATCAGCTGCCATATATGGGTTACTACAATATATAGATATTATGATAAACATAAATAAACTACTCCTAATGGAGAAGTTAACTAAAGTATTTACAACATAAATACTAGGCTTAAGACTAAGATAGACTTAAGCTTGATAATATAATAGCATAAACTTCATAGAGTTGTTAGCTAATGATATTGTTATGATATAACAGACATAGTACTGAGCTTAAGATTATGATTGGACTTAAGCTAAAATATATAATAGCCGCATTAACTTCGTGGAGTTATTAGCTATATAGTACTGTTGTGAAATAAGCAGTAAAAATCTCGTAAGATTGACTTATCTTCTCCGAGGGACTGTCAACTGCTGTGCGAAGACCATGGGACCGAAATGGTGAATGCCTGAGACGTCCTCGGTGGTGATATCTCTCAGATAGTGGTTGGCAAACACCATATCGGATCTCCAGAAGCAGCCCTCCATGATGGTATTCAAAGAGCAATTGCCGTAGAGCAAGTGTTGAAGATAGCGCCTAATTTCATGTGGATTAGATGCTCTTGGAGGGTCGAGTCCTGCAGCCTTGTAGGCAGAGTATGACAGTTCTGATCCATATCGAGATACTTGTACATGAGATTTCAGTCTGTGTAGCTGTCGATAGAGGGATGAATAATCGTTTGAGTTTTTTGTTGCCTCAGTTTGGATCGCCGTAGATATATTTTCAGTGTTCTGACTGGGCATAATGATAGATCCAGTTTATCATGAGGTCCCAGAATTGATGAGAGAGCTGGGACGTGGAATAATCTGTCTGGTTGACCTGGCAACTGGTTCTTGGCGATGAAATCAGCGTAGTCCCATATGCATGATGTTATGATTGTCATCAAAGCGTGTTCTCTCAGAATCTAGTGCGTGAATCTCTGACATCCTGGCTGCTGTTGCTAGGGATAACAGGAACAAAGTTTTCTGTGTCAGAAATTGAATGATGTTGATTCCAGTGGTTCATATGCCTCACTTGTGAGGTGTTGGAGCACTATATTTAGATCCCATGCTGGAGCCAAACCTCTGTTTCTGATCCTCCGATCGGAATGCACGTAGTAAGGCGAAGTAACTCTGGGGTCTTTGTCAACTTGACACCCATTCTCATAGTTATGACGGAGCTTAAAAGCTGCGTAGATATGTTGATAATGTTGAGCCTTTTAGACGCGTTTAGTCTGTCGTGAGGTAACATAAGTAGTCAGCCACTTGTGGATGTGTAGCATTTCTAGCTGTAAATCCTTTCTTTGCAGCATAATTTTCAAAACTGTGCCACTTGTCATCATGCAAGTTAGTGGAGAAGCACGCAAGGCAAGCGGACTGCTTAGCTGCTCTGGCTGAATAACCTCTTTTGTTTAGACAAGCCTTAATACAGTCCATACGTGAAGTTGGAATGCTTCTGGCTTTCGCGTGCTTGTTTGGTGTGAGGATGTATTAGTAGATTCGAGCGCTTTGGAAGTTGTAGTATTGGTTGTCCCGATTTCTTGAATAAGAGTTGGAAACAACGTTCTGGCTGGCCAGTAGGGCGCCACCAAAATCATTTGGAGGCTCTGAGTTTGCTTGATTTTCTGTAACACCTGTGGGATTAACGCTGGTGGCGGGAATGCGTCTAGCGTTGAGTCCTTCCCACGATATGCTTAGTGCGTCCGTTGCCCATGCTAGTGGGTCTGGGACTGGTGATACGAATGTTGTCAGCCGATTGTTGAAGCGAAAGTGGCAAATAGGTCTATTAGTGGAGCTCCTATTTTCTTGATAATTTGTGCTTAATATCTCTGTATGGAGCATCCATTCTGTCGGCGATGGTAGGTGTGGCCGAGAGAGCGCGCCTGCTATTACATTCTTTGCTCCTGGAATGTGACATGCTCTGACATGTATGTTGAGATTGTCGATTAAATCGAACAATTGAAAACATAGAGTCAATAGGTTCGGGGACCTGGTTGAGCCTTGTTTGTTCACATAAAATGCCACTGTTGAATTGTCTGTGTGAATCATCAATTGGGCATTCTTTAGTAAGTTGCTCCAATGATGTATGTATGCTTACTACTGCTTGCATTTCTAGCAAGTTTATGTGTAGTTTGCTCTCTTGTTGGCTCCATAACCCTGATGCCGTCCTGTTGGCGAGGTGTGCTCCCCAACCTTGGAGCGACGCGTCTACATAGAGATGTGTTTTCAATTCCGGCTCTATTAAACAGATTCCATCGCAAACATTCGATCTCTTGGTCCACCATAGTAGGTGAGGTTTGACGTGATTCGGTAGACTGAATGGTTGAGGTCACCGTCGAGATGAGAGTTGATGAGGACCTGTAACGGACGTAACTGTAGTCTGCCTCTGACTGTCATGTCTTGAGCTGACCTGAGTAGACCTAACAGGCTCTGCCATTGTCGTAGTGGTAGCGGAGAGAGTAAGGCTTGAGGGATTGTCTGTTGGATCTTGATCCATCGGTCCTCCGGTACGACGATACGATTCTGCGCCGTGAGAAATCGAATGCCTAGAAATTGCAGATCTTGCGTAGGTTCTAGGTCCGACTTGAGTAGATTTACTAACCATCCTATCTGTGTTAGTAGGTTGATGATGAGGTTTAACTGTAGTCTGAGACGCTGTGGATCTGGATCCACTTGTATCCCGTCGTCGAGATAGAACGCACTGCGTAGTCCTTGACGATGTAGGTAAGAGACAATAGGTTTCGTCACTCTTGTGAATAACCAGGGGGCCGATGAGATTCCGAAAGGTAGTACTTTCCATTGGTAATGCAGCCCGTCTAGTGTAAACCGAAGGTATTTCCTGGAGTCGGGATGTATTGGGATGTGTAGATATGCGCCTTGCAGATCTATGCTGGCCATGTAGTCTCTGGGACTCAATTAAGTGCCGTAGTTGTGGTAGGTGTATCATCCGAAACGCTGGTGGTTTGCGTAAATAGTCTCTGTTGAACGTGCTCATATTGTAGATGAGACGAAACTTTTCCTTGGAATTTTTCTTGGGCACTAGGAAAACTGGGGAGTAGAAGCCTGGTTCGATGTTTACTTGGTCCAGTACTTCTATGGCCTGCTTGGTTAGGAGCGTTGATACCGCTTCTCTTAACTTTGGTAGTTGTAGAGCCTGGGAGTCGAACCTCGGAGGGATGACTGTCAGCGGGGGCGTGGCCTGTAGTTGTATTCGATATCCGTGCTGTAGGATGTTGGAGACATATGGATCCTCTAGGAATCCCCAGTTTTCCCAGTGCAGTTGAAGGCGTCCCCCCACTTGTGATGGTTGTACTGGAACGGCTGGGGGTGGAAGACTCCAGTCGTTCCGAACCTGTCCTTCATCGTTTATAGTTGCGGGAGTCTCTGGATGACCTGCCTCTTCCGGATCCTCCCATGTAATTGCCGTAAGGGCGGCGAAAAGACTCTTTTGCTCCTCTTACACTTGCCATCTTCCTGTCCCGTGCTTTCTGTAGACCGGAGAACTTCGATTTGCCTGAGTACC